ATCTTTGGTTTAATTTGGTGGAACGGCAACGACCTCGTCGGCAGGAACGGAATCACGCCCAATGATTCTACGTGGCGCTATGAGGCTGCAAATCCCGACAGACTCGGTACGCAGGCGCGCATCCTTGGCAACGTTAAACTGTTAGCCGAATGCAAGGAGATCTCCGACGAGCTCTGCTGTATATGTGGAATATCTTCTTATCTTTTTGAGTTGCCTTCGTTTGTCGATATTTTCTGGGCAGAAATCAACGACATCATTGAGAGTCTCGGCATACACCGATTCCAGCCTGACAATCTGGTTTACCAATCCGATAAAGTTGATCAATGGCATATGCGAAAGACGCAGGAGAACATCGATCGCTTCGTGAACTATGTGACCTCGATTGTCAAATTGTCGTACCATGTCAACGTCGTTGAAGCTTCCCGAGAGGGAATTGCCGCGCTCAACAGGGTGAGAAGATTTAAATACAGTTGGGATTCCTCAGCGACAGTCAAAATACCGGAATCGTATTTACAACTTATCAATGAATTTGTTGAACAGCGAAACGCGCGAATGCAACAGACGTTGGGGAAGAGCAGGCAGTTTACTGTCGAGGAAGTACAAGCGTACAGCCCCTTTGAGACGAATGACGTGTCACTCGAAGAGCTAAAGGCCTCCGTTAATCTGGAAGGCGAAGATCCTCAAGATGTGTTGCAGTTTATCAATGTTGTACCTGTTATTGAGCTACCGGAGGAACAGCCCGCATTGGACGAGCCGATGGATGACGTTGCGACAGCCGACGTAAAAGTCGAGCCGAAGGTTGAGGAAACCGACGCGGACGTTGAGATGCCCGATAGCTATACAGGCGCAACCGACGAAGTACCTGGGCCTGATACTGGTATCGCAGGCGTAAATGCCTTGCCGACAGCACCAGAACCTGATCCACAGATGGCGAAGATCGAGGCCGAGGTTCTTGATGTTTTGGCTGATGATGAAACGACTGTTGAAGAAGGTGCAACCGGAGATGTTCCTATGATCCCTACGGACGCGGACCAATCCGCAGAGGGTCAAGCGTCTTCATCTGACCCGAGACCACCATTGCCGCGATTGCGAGGCAAAGGGCAGGGTCAAGGCACCCCTTCGGTCACTCCCGTAACGGGGAGCTTTCTTGCACCTGAGAACAACGACAACCCCGACTTGAAATTTTCTGGAAAAGGGAAGGGCGTTCTCGTTCGCGAGACGAAGCCTAACCCCGAGTACAAAAATATGCAGGTCGAGGTTGAAGAGGTTCTCGGAAGGTATCCTTACCCGGATCACCTACTCAAGGCCATCGGGAATGGCAACATCCAACTCCTCGAGGATGAGCTGGGCCGCGACGCCAAGCAGTACGTGCTGTACCACGTTACTGGCCATAGGTACTATTATGTATATGAGGATTATCATCATGGGCCTTGGGAGTGGTGCTGCTCCTGGCCACCTCATGTTCGTCGCGGTATTTCTGGTCTTCTTCGTGGACACGTCCCAGACGTCAGTATTTATGATCCGGCGTGTTATTTGCCAATTTACAAACTACTAGATTTGGCGAAGGCCAAATTCCCTGATTATGCTGGTTCTATGAATGTTTTTGAGTTGATTTCGATGGCTATTTATGACCACAAAGATCGTTTCGAATTTCAATGCGTGTACGACTCTCGTGTGAACGAGCAGCTCGAACTTTTCGCCGCCCCCGTCAAGATCCGATGTGGACAAGGCCACACTGACGACGTTCTCGAGACGCGATCAAATGAAGTGCTAGCAGTACTAATCCACTGCCGTCCTGACCATGTACACAGGTACAATGCTCGTTTGACAGCGCACGGGAATTGCGATATACCACCTCGGCTTTACCACCGAACGCATGAAGGTGCTGCGCGATCCATTATTGCGAGCGGGCTCATTCCCGGCGGTGGAGCCGGTGGACCGAAAAGCAAAGGCAATTCCTTCTTTTCAACACAACCTCTGGGAAACCAGAAGGCGATATCTGGTGTTCGTGCTGACCGACCAGTGGAGATTTGTTTTTCAACACCGGATGTGATTGAAGCAGGAGTTGATCTTTTCCTCACAAATTCTGGCGCGGTGATTACCAGCCATCACGTTCCGAATACGTGTATTCTATTTGCAACTCGAGCCCGCGCAAATGCGGAGCCGGAAGTTTTCTATTCGAGGCCGCAGGCATTGGATCCTTCGAACATTGAGGTCGGTGTTCCGCAAGATGATGTGACATTGGTTCCGGGAAAAGTGTCGGAAGTACGCGCCATTTTGGAAGGTACAAGCGACGCCACTCCCGAAGAACGCACAGCTAGCAGCAGTGCCGCAAAGAAGGAAGAGATGGAGGCAAATCGCAATACAGCTGTACCACAGATCGAGAGTGGATATTTTCTACATCTTCGAACTTTCAGCTGCGATAAATGTACGACACTTTCCTTAGCAGGAATGGCATCTTGTCATCGATGCGGAGTAGTATTTCAGAGCAATACTACAGATGGACCGATTTCAAAATTTATGCGACTTCAGATGAGGCGTGCAAAGGTGCTACAAGAGCAGGGGGGCGTGCCCAAGAACATGACCGCAACAAGCATGCTTGACAGCATTGCCGCGCAGGACCTACAGTCTGGACGACCTCCAGCTCGTGGTAGCCCGTCAGTTGACAGTCAGATTATTCTTGCAGCTCGCGGCCGCCTTCGCAAAGCATTGAAATCAGGGTATGAGAATGTATTCGATCGATTCAACCGCGACGACGTCTTCGCTACCTCCTTAACCGGAGAAGGATGCACAGCGTTTGATGCAGCGCAAGAAGACTTGTTTGCGTCACTGCAATTACCGGCACCCACGAGATCAGCGAAGCAGAGATCAAAAGGGAAGTCGGTTGTCAGTGATTTGGATCGACTGGACAGGGTTGACCTCGCCAAGCTCGCGTATATTCGATGCGGTGTTGACAACCTACATACCTGTTTCAAGCAAGGCGTCGACGAGAACTTTCTGATCAGTTATCGCCGAGAGTTTATGTCACTCCGACAATACGCCGCCGTAATTGGCGATAGCCGAGATGAGATCAAGATCCAGGGCTTTATCCCCACGACGGACGTCTATGGCGATATTCATTCAATTCGTATTCCTCGTGGAGACACGACAGGCATTTACAAGATTTTGAGTGAGTTTGCAGAGCAGAATGAAAATTATGCAAACATTCAATATCAGAGAAACGCGCAACAGTCTGCAAGTGTGCAGGGACGCGATCGTGGACAGCCAGTTTCACAGATGGGCTTCATGAACATCGAACAGCGCATGGCCACGCCTTATCCCAAGTTTGCCGATTGTGGCCAGGACATGTCGTCTGACGAGATTCGACGGCTTGAAGAGATCTTGCTTGAGTTTGGGCAGCGTGGAGCACCATCTCCTCAAGGACCTGTAACAAGGCCCCCGTTGACGCGGAAGCGATCGCAGATGTACATGGAGACTATTGGAGATGCAGACAAACGACCGAGGCTGCAGTGGAGGAGGAAAGAAGACCGAGATCAATCTGGTCGTATTGCAACTTGGGTTGACAACCGGACTCCACCGCCAGGCGTGCCTCAGCCGCCAGCTCCCGTAACAGGGACGCATACCTCGTCGGTATTCCGTATGAATGCACCTCCTGCTCAAGGACAAGTTTCAGGAAAGGGTGACTCCTCCAAACAGGATGTCGGTGAACGGAGAGATGTTTCTGGAAAGGGCAAAGGCCAAGGCAGTTCTTCGGCAGCAGGCTCAGCCGCTCCCGCAAAAGGGACGCCGCGTGGTTCTGTCGCCCGAGCAATTTCCCAGAGCCGTGTCCTTCCACCTAAACGTGGCAACATCCCCAAGGACCTCTTGGGTCCCCCAACTTCACCGCCACCGTTACCTGCACCCAACAACCCACCTGCAACTGGCCTTTCACCAATCTCCAAGCCACGTCCAGCCAAACCTTCACCTCCGAAGGTCCCACCACCAAAGGTGCCTCCTCCAAAGGTTCCTCCACCGAAAGTGCCACCCAATACAGCCAGTGGCATTCCGGTACATACAAGGCCGACAGATTTCAATCTCACGCCGAAGCCGCCGCCGCTTACAGACCTTTACAGTCGGTTGCAACCTTCCGTAAGAGGAAAGGGCAAGGATAAGCAGCAGGTGAGTGTTCGAGGAGGACCTTATGCTCCACAGCAATGGAATGTACAAAACGTGCCACCGCCGCCATTGCCACCCGGAACTTCATCCGCTTCGGCATCATCGTCACATAATGCACCCTTAACTGGGCCGCCGACTTCCAGCATTCGTGGAACTATTGATCGACCATTGGAACCCTTTGATTTTCCTGGAGTACAATGGCAACGCGATGACCCATGGGGCGAGAACTATTGGCCCAATCACATGGAATTGTGGGAGTGGTTGAGGCAGGGATGGCATGACGAGACGGAGCGTTTTGGAATACAATTTCTTTAAGCAGATGTTGAATAGCTACCATAAATGGTATGCCTTGCAGCTTATGAGTGTTGAGATAGAGATCACCTTCTGACGCGCTGTGAGATGATGTTTCACTTCATTGTCTCACTTCCCAATGCATCCATAACAGGATTGCCATAGTCGGAGAGTGAACTTTTAATCAATGCTTAACACTAACCTGGGCCTAGCATGTTTAACCACATGCCGAGTGAGGCGAAAACTGTACATTAGGGTAGCTACGTTCTCCTTGTATAGTGCATGCACGAGCTTGATGAGGGATTTCTAATATGATTCCTTCGTCGCTAGAATTTGATCCTCCCCGAGATTTTCCCTACGGGTAGCTCCTTGTAAAGGGGGGTGTTGAAATTCACCTCATCCCCATGGACCCCGTAGCGTTGACTCTCAAGGTAGAGCAAAAGGTAGCGCTTACCGGACTAGCAGGGTTAGCTAGGTAGTTAGTACTATTAGAGCTGATCCTGTAAAATACAGAAGATCAGCGCAATACTATTACAAAGGATGATCAGCTACAGATGATCGAAAAGGAGGATCAGCTCAAGATGTTCGCAAAGGAACCCAAGGAAGACCAGCTCAAGATACTTGACTTGGAAGGTCAGGTGCAGGGATGGGCTCACACTTATTCGGGCATTCAAGTCCAACACCACAACTTGCACGCGGAGAACATCTCCAATTACAACATTACTTGTGTGCCAAAGGTTTGGCTCCTCCTCTCTGGGCTCTATCGTTCCTTGAAATATGTTCGCCCCAGCATGCTGAACATGCTTCAGCGTTCAGCCGGCGACTGCTGGTTTGTGACTCTGCTGGTCTCCTCTTATGATGGCATAGATCTTGCGATTCTTCAGGATGACTACCAGTTTTTCCAGGGACGCTTTAGTTTTGTCTCAGTGATTCGCTCTGGCATTGCGAAACCCAAAGGATATGCCTACGCTGTCCACTGGCATGGCTGCTGGTGGATCGCGCAACAGATTCGAGAAGCGTTGAAAGGGAAAGCAGCCATGGACCCAAGTAGCACTTTGGCGCTGTCAGACTTGGCGTGAAACACTGAGAAAAAAGGATTCATGATACATGTGAAAGACAACTTGTTCTTCCTCACCCACGTTATAGAAGTACGGTATGTTCAGCTATTCAAATGTTCCATACCATTGATGGCAAAGCAGCACACATATGAAGACCAGACTTTGCTTTTGTCCACCCGGCTGAGGCACCATCGTACTTCGCCATCGGCCCGACGAGTGCTTTCGTCACTGCTTCGACGTGGAGGCTGCGGCCGCCGCCTTCACGCGGTGGCGGTACTTGATTTTGGGGCAGCCTATCTCTGCCGACAACGGCCTCACCACCAACTGGGCCACCTACAGCAACCTCATTGCACCTGGCCTTGCAGCGAATCGAAGCAGCAACTTGTTTCTCAGCGCCATGTCGGCCAGCTGGTCCAAGAGCGAATACTGCAACGGGATGTTGGATCCCGGGGAGTGTGACCATGGAATCCCATATTGCCTCATGAACAAGAACACTGCGCCCTGCCGACCTCCGGTTCTGCTGAGTTGGCAGCAGCATTGCCTGTGCCGCTTGCAAGGGAAAGGGTCCAGCGAAACCTCGCTCTGTATTGATCGAAAGCCACCAGATTTGCCGCTTGACGCCTGCATGGACATCACCAAGGGCACCAAATGCATCCTGCCCAGGAAATCCCACCTTGCTTGATTCGAGTATTTTTACAATGCTTTTAGCGTACATGGACTAAGCAGCTTGCAACATTGCATGCAGCACAGCATGACACAATTGACCACTGCAACGTATTTGTTTAATCCACTTGTCATGCATTTAGAAAACCAAAACTATGTAAGATATACATAAACGTTATAAACAAAAGTCTTCAACATAACACGTGTTTGCACGTGCCTTTTCAAATCTTTGCCACCAGCGGCCAGTATCAAGAGTGGTGGAGGCGGCGGGAACCCATGGGCGCATGCTCGCCCAGTGGATCGACCCCCGTGAAAATTGGAATCTACCGTTGTGGACACACCAGTGGCTGTTGAGGCACACCTGTGAAGCCAGGAACCATCAAAGAATTTCAAGAATTGTGGCACAACTCTTGGAAGACGATCTTTTCTTAGAAACAGGACGCTTTTGACTGGTGACCACTGTGGCCTTCCTTGCGTGTCCAGGAGCGGTTGGCAAAAGCTGCCTCAGCAGCTCTTACCACCTGCGTGGCAGCTGAAAGGTGGCCTCAAGGATTCGGGGAATGTGGCCTACATGCGGCCCACGTCGAAGAAGGGTTACCAGACTTGCAAGGCCTGGATAGAGCAAGAGGCAGAGTTTGGTGTTGGGTTGTATGCACTATCAAGATCAAGAGCACGTTTGAACATAATCGGACCTTTTAATTTTTTTGTTTGTCCAAACAAGATGTGGAAACAGCTGCAGATCCTTCATCTCAGACCTGTTTGTTGTTGACAGTTTCCGTCGAAGGCAGGGCGAGATCTGTGAAGTGCTGGACTGGCCAAACAAGAGACTTGGAGTGCATCGCTAGCTTGTTTGGTTGTATTTCCTTGGTGCTGTTTTGGTTTCAGGCCGATCACCTTTATCTCCAGGCTTTTCATTTGTCTGGTGGAAACTTGAGGTGGAGCGCAAGATGATCAGATGCTGGATTTGTGAAGCCATGTCCTACCCAGCGCGCTCATGAACGCTAGGTGTGCCAGGACGCAAAAGTAAGGGTCGCACAAAACATGGCGCTGAGAGCAGGCGGCTCTCCGTGCGAAGTTTGCAGTTTGTGGGTTGGCATTGATTCCATTGCAGTAGTTGCTAGTGGCATCCAGCACGGCCGGTGGGTGTGAGGCAACTACTAGAGCAGCTTCCAACCGTTGAGTGTTGGAAAGAGCATCCTACCATAGCTGGTAGCCATCATAAATCATAGCCAACAACATTGAACTACGGTAACTATATAGGAGCTTCCAGCATGTGCCAATGTAGTCTAGGGCCTAGGGCGGTCCTTTGGTGATCCCTTAGATGAAGCTGCTGGTAGGACGTTGATGGGGCCCGGGTGCACTGATGTGCACTCGACGTCATTTTGGAATCCTTTCTCATTCAAGGATATTCAAGGGGCGTTTGGTTCGGACTGACTCATTTTTGTCCCACTACTACTGGGGCCATGGACGTCCCCGTTCGCCATGACCTTCCTCCCGAGGCGGGCGAGGCAGGCGAAAGAGTCGGAGTGGCACGCCACGCTTGCAGAGCTAAGGTCGGGTGTCCAACCCGTTTTTTTCCACCTCCATGACTCAATGACTCCATGTGTACCAATTCGGCCCTTCTGCAACTCACTCCTTTCGGTCATTTGCAATTGCTTGCTGAAAGACACATTCATTTCGAGCCCAGAAGTACCACACTTCATGTTTCAAGGATAGTTTGGTTCATGTTTGCTAGGATAGCCTTTCCACTGCGTGAATTTGTTTCTTTATTTCTGCCACATGCATTACAGGAGTATAGCAGGGCAGTTGACAAGCATGTTCACAACTTGTTTGCTTGCATGAGCTTGACTTGAGCCTTTGCTTGGGACACAGACCTCATAATTCTTCAATGTCAGTGCAGTCAAAGCACTTCCGCCGTGGTTTTTCAAACTGCAGCAGTTGGCTTTTCCCAGCTCCAGCGGTGAGCTTCCCTGGGACCCGAGTTTCGCCTCCTTGCCGCCCACCCGCCACGTCGCACGCGACCAGCCATGCTCTCCTTGATACGTCCGGATCCCGGAAAGCAATAACAGGAGTCCGTGGCACAATGCGGCACAGGTTTTGGTTACCTACACACAAGACACACCCAGAGTTCCCGGGTGATTGCAGATTCCAGCAGCAAGATTGAATGAATCATATGCCACTATTGTGCCACTATTATAATATAATATAATATAATACAATATAATACAATATAATCCAATATATATACTATAATATACTATAATCATCTATAATCTTGATATCGATTTGACGGTGAGCCACTCTTTGCTCCCCCCTGCTCCCCATCCCAAGTTGGCTGCTTCGCCAGTTGGCTCAGTCTCCGACTTTCAGCCCCTGCGCACCGCCGGACCTTGCCATGCACAGCGAGTCCTACTTGCCGGCCAAGCCTTCGCGCTTGCCGCGGAACACGGTGCAGACCGTGGTCGCGCCCATGGCAGCGCGAACCGAGCCGGCGCCCTTCACACCCCGCGCGGAGGCGCTGCCGCCACGGGTTTGGGCAGCGCCATTGCGGAGCTCATCGGTGCCCAGAGTCAGCTTTTTGGTCCGACAGGGGCGGCAAGTGAAAGGCGGACAGTGGAAATGGGGACACTGCACGAGATGACGCGGATGGCAATTGTCCCAATATTACTACGTGTTTTACTTTCTTCCCATGATTTGTTCCTTGATTCATGTTGTTCTACTTTGTTCTACACTATTTGGTCTTATCTTCTGGTTGACTTCAGCTTCCAACGGGTGACAGGACTCCACACTGACCTTCATGAAGAAGATTTTGGTTGATATTTCGGTCTGGGTGAAGAATTTACTCTATTTGTTATTTGGATTATATATGATTAAAATTGATTAAGGAATTTTTTAACAGTCTGTTGGAGTCTTTGGTGTATTCAAAGATTGGGGCTCACATGTCGCATCATTTCGCTGTTAATGTTATTATATAACAGTATAGGAGAAACTATGTTTATGTTGTGTCTTAGATTCACTTTTCTGTTGGTATTGGACTTCACACACATTCCACATCTGGGCGCCCGGCGTGTGATGTTCCCGTCGTGTTGCCGTTGGTGTTCATTTTAATTGAATCCTTCTTCTATGGCTGCGTGCAGACAGCATCCCTTCTTTTGTGGCTGTTTTTATGTGTTTATTTTTTGTGTTGTTTTGGGAGCACACCTTCCTTAGTCATTTTTTCTATATTTATTTGTTCATCCGTTTCCCCCGTAAGAGACACACAAAAACAATCAAAACACAACCATGAATCACGAGACAAAAAAACAAAAGCAACACCAACAGAGGCAACATTTGAAGTAGTATATATATATAACACAAAACGCAAATCAAAACTGCACTTTAAACAACATAACAGTTGCAATAAAACATACAAAAAAGGAAGCGCACAAGCAAAGCAGTTCTAAAAATCAACCACCCAACAAAGTGAACACATGCAAAGTAACATGTTCCTCCATTTTGATTTTTGAAGTTGGAAGAGAGCATCCAGGTTCGCAAGGCCAGATGCCTTGCGCCCTTCCTCACGCTGGGCCGATGCTCTCGAGGGTCAATCTGGACGAGGTGCCAGCCTCGGCCTCTGGCTACACTACTCCGGTGTATGTCACTCGGTTGCACGGATGCACATCCAGAAAGATCAGAAAGAATGGAAGCTCACACTTAAGCCATGTGGCATCCAGGGTGGAATCCTTGTACAAAGCCCTTGGCCCTTGCTCTTGGCGCTTTCCACTTCTCAAATCATCTCACCTTCAGGTGACCAGTGGGCACACCACACCTCGACCCGTCGCGGTGCCCTACGTTCACCGCACCACTGCACGGCCTCAGTTCGTGCGCCTGGACGACCCGGGCTCCGGTGGAACCGCTCCGCGGGGACCGCCGTGGGGACCGGGAGCGACGTGCTCGTCGCTGGACGCGGCGGCGGCGATCGCCCGACTGCAGAAGGCATTGGCAGATCAGCGGGATGAGCACGAGGCGTTTTGGGGACCAGGATGGGTGTGGCACCAGGAGTCTCAAAACACCAGAAGGGAACTGACTGTCAATCGTGATAGTTTTTTGATTGGGTGCTAAACGCCAGGAGAAGCACAATTGCCCTATTGCTCCCTGCAATGCCTATTATGGGTCAGTCAGTTCGTGCATAATATATTTATATATACCGTATATATGTATACCTATATATACACATACGTATGAAAGGAGGCAATTGCCCGGGCAATAGTTAATAAATAGAGTCTTTCACAAAATTAATTACAATTTGTAGCAGCTGATAATGGTGCTTGGAAGTTTATATCAGGTACTGTACGGAGAGCAGACGGATGCAGACAGCAGAGTCTTAGTAAATGAAAAGAGGTGAGCTTTCTTCAGAGGTGATTTGAATGCGGCAAAAAGTCCTCATTGCATTGTCACAAGAAATGGCTATGTTACTTATGGCAATGACGATTGTACATTATATATGTAATAAGTAGGAATATGTAGGAATGGTGACGTATAGGAGGCATACAACTGGAGGAAATAGCACCGGCTAAACGGTTCGTTCTCAACGAGTTCGCCGGGCCACGGCCGACCACGCAGGCCAAGTTGGCCGCGCTCCAGGCGCGCTGGGAGGAGCGCTTCACCGAGGCCATTGACTTTTGGCAACAGGCGGCCGCCGGGCCGAGCCCGGTGGTTGGAGTGTGGCGTCGGTGTTGGACCGGGGCATTGGTTCTTCTCTATATGTTTCTATGTTTCCCTCCATCCTATACAAAATGGGAAGAGGATGGTTTCGTTGTTGAATGGGTCGGAGTGTGGCAATGGGCAAACGTGGGGCAAACATGGGAAAATCTGTTTTACACTAATTACTAGAAGCTTACGAATATTATGGCTATGACTATAGCCTATAGTAAATTAAACCCGCCTTTTTGCTGCTGCTGGCATTCGTTTCCAATGTTCTTGTCGTTCTTATTGCTTTTGTTTTGGTGGTGTGGTGTTTTGCATCCTTCTTGATAGGTGTTTTTGCTCACCTTGTGCAACTCCTTGTGCACTATGAACAATACATTCTATTTATGGTACGGGAGTTGTCGATTGAAATGCTAAAAGGATCTAAAACGAGTCATGCCCGTAATGCAGCAAAAAGGCGAGGGTGTTCACAAGACTGTGGGCACTGGCAGCAATGATGGACCACTCAACGGTTTCAAGCAAAAGAACATAATAAGGTGCCCATCATTTGCACTTTGCATTGTGTCACACCGTGTGTATGATTGCAGATGTATCCTTTTGTTCTCACTGTGGTGCTCCATACCGTTTCACCCAACTATTTCGCCGAACTGCCCATTCGCGTGCGATCGTCTTATCCACTGGTCGTTGAGCCACAGGCATGGTCGACCACCACAGCAGTCGTGAAGGATTGCAACACTCACTGCGTGACTTGGCCGCGAAGGGTGGATGGACCACCCGAGCTTTCGCCCATGTGAGGCATTGAGCACTCGGGGATTGCATTGCTTTGGTCTGTTGGTTTTCTCCAGGTGATTCACTGTGCATTCTGCATTTCTTGGGAAGGGTCGGGGTTTCTTCCACCACTGCTGGGCAGCCATGCATTGGTTCTCACTTCCTTTAGACATCGGGGTGACAATATCCACTATAAAATCTAGGCGGTTATGGTATGGCACAAAACGTTTTATGAGATGGTCCCTTGAGGGGGTCTGAGGGTGATTTTATAGAGAAATCGGTGCTTGATACGTAAAGTCATTGATTGAACACGTCCGTGGATGGCTCAGTTTCAACTGGCTACAAATGTGTGACCAGAAGCATAGCCAGTTGTGAAGCTGGCAATTAGAAACGTAGATGCCAGAAGTACTTGAGAAATTATCAAAAAGGAAAAATGATCTTGCATTGATAGTTCTTTTCTGGTGCCCGAAACGATGCATATAGGATCATATAGGTAAGTTGTGCTAGTTACTAGTAGATGATGTGCCGTATTCAGTGATTCAGTGTCATTGAGTCAAGTTTTGGAGGTCTGGTCTAGTGAAAATATAGGATTTCAGTTTTGGTGGGGTCACACCAAATTATGTTCCTTTGCTGGTGGCTACCATCATTTTTTAGCTATAAAATCAGTGGCAGGACCCCTTGCCCGGTTTTGTCACGGGATCTTTAGACCTTCACCTCCTTGTACCTCACCAAGCTACCAAGTGGCCACGCGCCAGGTGAAACTCAGTGAAGTCCTAGAGGCTTCCTTGGATCAACTTGGACAGAGCAGCGTGGCCACTGGGCGCCTGTTTTTGGGGTGAGATCGGAGTGACAGATAGCCACAAGAGAATCCAAGTACCCAATTTTCGTCAATGCAGATCGCCTACATCAGGGGCCTACTTTTCAGGATTGACCGTGTGTATGTGTGTGTGTGTGTGTCATCTCATGGATCATGGCTCCATCCAGCAAATTGATCGGGTGGCCTTACGGTTGAGGGTTTGTGCCAACGTCACTTTATATTGCACGGTCCATGGAAACTCGCAGATGCAACCCATGGTGGCAGGCATAGGGAGTCAGTTCACTAGATTTGTGCCAGACTCCAAAGGTGGATGCAAAACTGAACAGAATGACGAAATAGTTCCTTTGCAAGTACATGGTTTGTAAGTTCACCCTTTGCGCTTCACACATTGGCCCGTGTTCATGTTCGGGGTATGGATAGACTGGGACTCTTTTTTTCAAGAGGCACCTTCAGTCGGCAGCCTTTTCTCACCAAAAGCCCGTTGAGTTGTCTTGCCTCAGGAGGTTGCCAAGCTGCAGAGTCGCGTGCAGTTGCTCGAGGTGGGCGGCCGATTGATTTCATTCGTGTGACGCGTGCCCACTTGGAAAGGGAAATATAACTGCGGTTGGTCTGCAACACATCCGCCTGCTGGGTTTGTGAGCTCGAAGAGTGGAATAGAGAGAAACACACATGGCCAAACAATTGTTTTGCAAATCTTTACAAAAGACATTTTGTCATATCTCACAGCTTTCCCCCTTGAAAAGCTTCAACCGGCCTCGCTCCGGGCGCTCGGAGAGGAAGCCGCTCATTTGCCCAAAGCGCCAGAAGCAGAGCTCCCACTGGAGATGGCGCAAGAACGGTCGCCGCGGTCACCGCGCAAGTCGCCCAGCGCCACCTGCAGCGGCACCAGTGTGGGGCCCAGTCATGCAGAAAGAACATGATTTCATGTCCTCTTAGTATGTTAGTATATGTACAGTATTGTTATATGTATATTCAATGTATTTCAATGTTATATAATGCACATTGTTTTAAATTTACATCATAATTACGATTGATTACGTCTTCTATCGTTGTGTTGTTTTTTTTTTTTTTTTCCGGGGAGTGCATCGGGATCACCTAGTAGCTCGAGCAGATACAGCAGGAGCCGATGGTTTTTCATGTTTTTCGTCCAACATTTGGTTTACCTTTTATTTTTCTGTGGAAGGTAGGTGCGCTTGTGTCTCACAGTGTGTGACCCGCTTTACATTTTGAGGAACTTTGTACTTCCTCGATCCCGAATTGCAAACTGAGTATTGGGGCCAAAGTGTCACACCTACCCCGATATCTAATTGACTTAAGCCAACAAAACTGGGGCGAAAGCGGCGCAAGCCAAGGTGAAAGCTTCAAAAAACTCTCAGATGAATTGGCTCAGTTTGCCAACTTTGTCTCAGAACAGTCAATGCGTATGCGGTCTGATTGCAAGCAAGAGACGCCTGGAGAAATTATAGAAATGAGAACTGAATGCTGCATTGTGATGCACACGGTAGTTTCCTGGCGAAGCATGTACCGAGAAACCTACTGCTACCTCCCAATGTTGTTTTGCCCCCTTGTGTCCTTGCTCTGCCCTAGCATGTGGGATTTCGCCTCAGATTCAGAAGAAACAGAATTTGAATGAACAATAACCCAGGAAGGTCAGACCATGTCAGACCATGTTGCTTTGGCACTCACCAAATCTGTCATGTGGTCGCCGCTCAACTGGTCCTCCAGATATTTGACCTACGGCACTATGGCGGTGTGTACTCGGAGCCTACCCTAAACCATTCATAGAATGCAAATGAATAGAATACAATATATATATATGATATGGGTAGACTCTGGGCAGATTTGTTTGCCAGTTTTGGAATCCAGAAGTTTGAACATGAGCTCTCTTTTAGGACAGATTCATGGTCCTTAGTACAATCATGAGCTGGCACTAGTGTTGATGTGCTGATGGAAGTTGCACCACCTAGAGCCACCGAAAACACACTTTCAATACCTGTTGTTTTTTCATGTTCTTTCCTTTCTATACGGTCCCAGTGTTTCAAAAACTGGCCTTGAGATGGCTTCTTTGATGGGATTGACATGGTTTGGGTTGGCTCAGAGGTTCCTTCTTCTCATTGGTTCGTAGCTGCCGTTCACCACCCCCCGAGGTCGCCGAAGTCGGGTGATGCCGCTCGGAGGGTGGCGTTGAGATGGTACGGTCCGCCCTGGGTCAGTTTGTTCGGGGCGTCCAAGACAAAGTGGAGTCGGAAGTTCAAGTCTTTGGATGATTGGCCCGATATATAGCCATGATTTGCTACGAGTCTACGAGAAACTTAACATTTAATAAAGCTAGGTATTAAATGACCTAATTTATAAGTTAGTGGCATGGATGTATTCTGTTTACAGTGCAGCGCATTCCAGTTTATATTGTTGATACAGTTCACAAAAATTAATTTGCTTTCACCTTTGTGGCCCAACATGAAGTTCAGATCTCACCGACTTGCGAACATTCCGTGAATCGGACTTCTTCGCCGACCCCTGCCGGCGCGCCTCCGAGGTCCAAAGAGACGACCTCGCCCCGGAGGCTTCGCCGCGGACCGCGGCGGGAGCTCTGCCCAGCGTGGACGCCACGGCGCTGGACGTCGGGAGCATGTCGGAGCTGGGCGTCGCCGGAGGGCGGTAGCTGACCCGGTCGCCGGCGCCGGCGCTTCACCCGGCGCGAGCAGCTCTCACATCCGCGCGAGGGAGCGAGGGTTCGGTGACGGCAGAGGTACAACTGGAGGAATCCTGGAGGAACGAATTGAGATGAATTGAATTGAGTAGCTCAGGAGATACGCTGAAGTTGGTAGGTGGAACATGTATGATTGATCTTTTATTGAAGATTTGGCAGCAGATGTCGCAGCATTTGGGGGTCGCTAGAGGATTTGTCGGACACCCTGCCGAACCCGTGCCGCTCGCGCGGTCCGTGAGGACGCGACCAGGCTCCAGTGTAGTGATGATCGGACAATGGATGTGGCCAGTCAGTTTAGCACAGCTCAGAGTTCCGGCAGCAATCGTTTTTCTTGCCTGTTTCATTTGTTTCCTTATAGATCCTTGGGGTCTGGCGATCTCTGTGGCCTGGGCCCAAAGCTCAACCTGCTAAACCTTGCATGGCGTGTACAACAGAGTATCCTGTCATTGAAAGTTGCCTCCCAAGCAAAGTATAAGGTACAGACCTTGCGTTGATCGACCCACATCGAACCCCGGGACCCTTGCGTTGTTGACCCTTCTCACCGGATACTGCTTGGGGCATCCTTGTTTCTGTGCACCGTAGATCAAGGGGCCGGTCCGAGGGTTCAAAGCATGGCGCCTGGTCAGATCGTGAACTAGCGCCTCTTCGTCCCCATGGCCAATGTGCGAAACGCGGAGCTGTCAAAATGGCCTTTGGTGTTTCTCCCTCACAGATCTATCCATTCACATAGCAGTACATACCTTGGAGTATAGGATGGCTGAAGACCGCCATGCTGTGTGTAGAGGTTTTCCTCAATTAGATATATGCACTATGCTGTGAGGTCCCGTGTTCCCGTCTCTTCTTTAACCAAACTGTCATTCCAGAGATTGATAGCTTCTGACAGGACAGATGATAGATGTCCCAAACACATAAGTTATGAGGACGAAACATGGTCTCGTAACGGACCTTATTGTTTGCCACTCACTCTGTGCCATCCACTCAGTCATGTTGGCGTGACTTCAACAGGCTGTCAATAGAGAGATTCCGAGTGCCCTGCAACCCTCCCCAGCACGTGATTTGCATTTGGAATGGTTTTCTACCGTAGGTCCTAGGTGGGCAGCTAGTTTGTTGGGATATATCCGCACCAGGAGGGTGCTCTGGCCCTTGAACAATCAAACAGTCAAACATCAAACGCTTAATTGCTGATAACCGCCGGAACCTCCAAAGTATGTTTAGATCAGGATGCAGCAGAGTTGATCGCTACATGAACATAAGCTAAGATTTGATGGTCAAACGGTTTGACCCATGATTGTACCGTTGTACCACATGGCAGCTTTACCGGGTTACCACGGATGATGGGTGCGGCAGCACGATCGCAAAGGGCGGCCCAGCGAGACTCGCATCGTTGAGGCCTTTTGGGACTCAGCCTATGTCTCGAGGTCTGGGGATGGGACTGGTGAACTGACAGGTAATGGAGACTCTTGATTATACTTCAACCCCAGGCCTGAAATGGTGGTGTTTTATTAATTAACAGTCTACATCACTGCATGTTGGTTGTTAGACTCAGGTCTTTGACGCTTCATGTTTGGTTTGGTTTGGTTGTTTGTTCCTTGGCTGTCAACCCTACAATAGGTATCTTCAGATCACGAAAGGTAGCTTCAGCTACCTGACAATAATAAAGTTAGATTTTTCCCTTAGGGCTCCAAGTTTGCATATTAATCCCACCCCCTAAACAATTCGTATTATTCACTTACCCTGGGCTGGTGTACTACCCCCTTGAAAAATTGTTTGGAGCAATGAAGTCGTTCCGTTGTAATAAGCGTGTTTGAAAACAATTTTGAGGTCATAATTCCATGTATCAAGCAAACCTCAGGAGAGTTAAGTAAGGAAGTTAAAGGGCGAGCAATAGCAGAACAATAGAAAAAAGAAGCAAAGCTTTAAGAAAGACACTGGGTGAAAAAGACTTTTTATTATTCCGTCCCATTTTACTAATTAGGATGCAACATTAATAATTCTATTCATTGGCCCCATCACCACCATCATCATCATCATCATCATCATCTGAATCATCATCCCTACATATTTCCCTTTGCCAGATGATTGTTTGCCTCTCCCATGATACGTGTTGTCTACCTTTCGTCACCCCTCCGCAAGTTTGAGCAGCAGAGCAGGAAGGAGGACGACCGAAACATATTTGTGTGTTTTGAAGGTTGATTGGATTGTTCTTTATATAATGTGTTCTTTGAGGTTTTGAGCATGGGCTTACGCAGACATTCATATGGACTGCGCTCAAAAAGCCCTACTCAAAATATATAGATAAACGTAAACTTTTAAGGTTGGAGATGTGTTTTTAAGTCTTTGTTTAGAAGCGGGGCCCCCAGCAGACTATGGTGATACAGCAAGGCAGCGCTAGATTGGCGCTAGGTTGGCGCTAGGTTTCTCCATAACAGGATACTATGGCGTCACTGTAAGCAAGCAGAAAAAGAAGAAACAAGCAGAGAGCAGGAAAAAGAACAAGACAAGAAAAAGAAAAACAAAGCAGAAGAAGAATAAGAAGAAACATTTTGCACAAGCACGCAGGAAAAAAAAATCTGACAGGATAAAGAAATCGACGGAGATATTTGCGCTAGGCTGGTGCTAGATCCGCGCTAGCGCCGCGCTAGACGACGGTCCATTTCTTGACCATTCGCCCATCCAACATCCAAATCTTTTGAGTCAGCTCTTACATCCTTCCTATGTCTTCCTGAAGGTTTCTGAGAACAAAAGTGGGAAACAACTGCAGAAGTCCGGCAGCAGCAGTAGCAGCAACAACAGCTCCAGCAGCTCAACAGGCCCCAGGCCCCTGGAAAGGTCTGCGCTAGACACCTCTCACAGTTTTTGCAGTTGACATGCCTTCATGTTTAACATCCCTGTGGTTTGAGTGTGGTTGGAGTTTAAAGGAGATTTAGAAGCGGGCCCCCATGGAATTGCGATGAGTGCACCATTTTGGGAAAAGACATTTTGGAAACCAACCATATGGACATAGTTGGCAGCGGCCAGGCCAATGGAGAAGGGGTGAAGAGCACCAATATCAAGCTCCTTGGGCCAAACTGATATCCAGCCGGCCGAATTTGGCCACGACTGTTCTTTGAGGTTTGGGGGTCTTCTCGGGTCTTTTTCAATCTTTTTCCAATATCCACATGTGTGTTGAGCATGTTTGAGTTTGCAAGGTGGGAGACTTGTCATGTTAGAACACAGCATCCAAACACAATGTGCAATGTTATCACTCTATGTATAGAGGTGGGGTTTACCGCATCGCCTAGTAGTCAACAGACTGTCTCACCAAGACTGTCTAACTAATCCCCGAGTCCTAATCAGTAGGCCATGCTGAAATGTTTGATGGACTTTGTTGCAATATACATAGGTCAGCCCCGATAATAAATATCTCTCACACCCTGCGGCAACCCCATCGAACAATCATCGATTTGAATCAAGTCTTTTCATTCAATTTTGAATGATTCATAGCTCCCTTGTAGCACATTGCACAGGAGAGCCTTTGCAAATAAAGCTCCGATGAGCCCTGAAGACTCTTCAGGATGTCCTTTTTTGTATATTGATGTGATCTAGTCAGACGGTGGGTCAATGGTATAGAGGCCTTTTTAGACCTTTAGGACCTTTTGAACCCGTCTATATACAGGTATTTCATGTCCGTTTTTGGTGATCTGTGTTTTTGTGACTGCAACGTTGATTGGTGCAGTGCTCAGCGAGCAGCCCAGGTTCCACGAAGGCATCTCCCGAGAAGCCAAATGGAAGAACCATGGCTTGGGGACCCCAAGATGCATGGGATTGAGGCATGGGCACTGACAGTTGGGCTGGCTGATTCTATATATATATTAAATTGATTGGATTAGGGGATGATGGGTGCCTAAATGGCAGTGTCAGGGCTACCAATTACCCAGCACCAACCCCAATTGTTGAGTTTGACGCACCTTTGCAAGTGAAGCTTTGCCAGTCAGTTTGCAGTGAGCTGAGGCCACATGGGAGTGACTTTGTGGATGTTCCTTGACTGATCTCACGGCTTGCGTAGTTGGCTGTGCCCAGCGGTTTTGTCCAACAGTTTTCGACACGGTCAGACCATTGCGGTGGGGAGCTTCCATGTTAGTCACTCCGAGTGTATCCACAATTGGCGTACAGTAACACATCCTTGACCACTAGTGCTCTTTGGCGACGCTGCAGTCCGTGCTGGTCCTTGGGGGGAAGACAACCGAGCAAGCGCCAATTGAACCACACTCAAGAGGACATGAATGAATCGCAGCCGTGCCTGGAGAAGCGGCGAGGCCTCGACTGCGAGAAAGGGTGAATCGGCAAATCCAGTCAGATCAGAATATCAGAATACCAAATCAGAGTGGTCAGGTTGTCACTGGATGGGTCCAAATCAATTGGGTCGAAACTCAGGACTGGATTGTCAGGCAGTGGCAAAAGCACCATCAGTGCAGGGAACCCTAGCTTCAATTGAGCCACCTGGCAGGGAAGCCAACAGTTCTTGAAATCATTGCCATGGAAGTCTTGGAAGAGCGTGATCGCCTTGTTCATCAAAATCTCATGGCCTCCGTTTTAGGTCGTAACGATCCAAGGTCGCCCTGGAACGTGCGCTGGCTGAAAACCAGGCCAAGAGCTACTTCGTGCCAGGGCCCCAATAGCGAGCCGGCCTTGCTGGGACCTTTGAGGTGGTTCGCTTCAAACAAGTCCAGGAGAGGAATCGGTGGCGGTATGGAGCCGCCTTGTCTCGGTGCCCGGCCCAATGGTACTTAAGCTCAACTCCAGACGTCCTACAGCTGGGAAGGTCAGATGCTCACGCAGTGCGAAAATCACTCTGCCCTCCCGCAGCTGGAAGTATATATATATATACATATGAATATGGTGTTATTCATTTGTGCAATGTACATTTGTAAATACACAAAATATATACATACATGCATGGACAGAGAGGAAGTGACACTTACTACATGACACACACACACATGTAGATAATCATGAACTTATAGGGCAATTAGTTCACGACCCTTCAGAAGCCTTGATCAGATACCGCCTTGATTCTGTCAGGTACCGCCTGGATGGAGACAATCTCCGCTTCGGATTGAACAGGCGACCGATGATCCACCGGGAAAAGTCATGGCGCTGTCATACTTATTATTGTGTCTAATAGCTTCTTGTTACTACTAGTAAGGCACTTGTTACTAGTAGCGATGCACTTGTTCCTAGTAGCTTCTTGTTACTTGTACGATTTCCACACTTAGGAATTTAGGATCACCTAGGCGAACAGCATCTGTGAGGTGTCAGGCCTTGGCAGCTCTATGCAGCTCTGTTCGGAATCTGAATCTTTGGAAAACCGACCAAAAAATGAACACCTTTCTCGTTTCTTGTTTCCCACCCCCATGCAGATGAAATCACCCTCGTTCAGCTTCAGGGACTTGGGCTTCAGCCCACAAGATCGCAAAGAGAATGTCCGACGTGTCTCAGAGGCACGGAGTTCCGTGAGGCAGATAGATTTTTCCATATTTTTCCTGCTCAATTCCAAGTGCCTGAAGGGTTCTTGGATGTTCTTGAGGTCAGTAAGGACATGAAAGCGTTATTCATTGTTGATATTGTCGGTTTGTCAGAGGTACAGCATGTTTGTGTTGAATAGATTTGGTTTTGATAGACGAGTTGACCCCTTGAGATGCAAAAGTGTCACTTCCCTGGGTGTTGGGAAGGTCTCCAAGCTCTTCGCAGAGGCTGGGTGAGACAAAGAGGAATGCAGTGGTGGGCAAGCCAACAATTCAGATGCACTGTCATTTATTGTTTGAACCCTCTAATTTTAATCCAATTGGGGCCTACGCCATGCCCAAGGAACTCATGGAAAGAAAAACAAGATGCAAGATGCTCTTTCAGTTTCTTGGATGTTGGCACAAGTGAGCCAGTGAGCTAAACCCCGAGCCACGCACGGGCAGTGCGCCGTTGGACTGGCGCAAGGGATGCTGATATCTCCCTGGCCCCTTTGGGTGGCCCTTCGTATGTTTGTCAAAGACCAGTCCTTTGCTTTTAATTACACTTAATTCTATTTACTTATTGTATTGTTCCTACTAGCAAACATTGTTCCTAGTAGTAAGGCCCTTGCTCCTGGTAGCGATGCACTTTGCTCCTAGTAGCAGGAAAAAACTCCAAGATGTTCGGCACTTTGAGCGGTCCGCTCATGCTCAAGGGGGTCGGATTGACAATGAGTTTTAGCCAGCTCCCTGTTTTGAAGAAGGTTGTGACTTGTCTACTGACAGTGTTTGAGAAGTGTGTCTTCAAGTTTGTGAGAGAAGCCGCGGGCCGGTTTGCTTGGCAATCTTAGGCAGATATTCGTACTAGACAAAGGACTGCCACTACTCCTACTAACGACGACGACAATGACTACTGCTGCTGCTGCTCCTCATAGTACCACCACCACCGCCACCTCCCATCACCGTTCACGACTACAACTGCGAACCGGAGACTGTATTTCATTTGGGCCTTGTGTTTCCTTACCCTGAAAGGATTTTGAATCTTTGGATCGGTACCAGGTAGATCCCAGGGACGGTCCTTCCAAAAAAGAAACGCCCCCGGCTCTCAGCCAGGCAGGGGCCATCGTCATTGCCGGGCTGATTTCGCCCTATGCAGCGGACCGCGACTATGCCAGGGAGGTGCTGTTGCTAAGGGAGGTGCTTCTGTTGTGAGTCTCGGGCGGTTGATGCTTTTTGGGCGCGCTGCTCGCAATTGTTCCAATGTATGGACGAGGTGTGTGTATGTTCATACGCATGGACGTCGTATGGGCGAAGACTCATGTGTGGTTTGACTGGATGTAGATGAACAGATAGATCCGGTTTGAGATGGTTGCTGGGACTCAGGTGCACAAAAATGCTTCCCTGCCATTCATGGAAGTCTTCGTGGATGCACCTTTGTCGGCGGTGGAGAGCAGAGATCCTAAGGGCCTTTACAAGAAGCTCGGCTGAAGGGCTCCTGTTTTACTTGGCGCCACGCAAAAGGGTGCGGTGTTTCAAGTTTTCAGCCGACACGGTACTGTAGGTGCGTTGAAAGCAAGGAAGAAACAACGCAAGCGTCGGACCGGTAGATACATAATAAGGCAATCACAAGCCAAGCAGGCTGGCGCTTGGAACCTATGTACCTTGCCTTTGAATTCGCTTGATAACTTGATAGGTAGCCTGGTTTGATGTTCAGGTCATTTGACAGGAAACCTGCACTCGAAAATCCGGCCTGCCCGCGCCCTCCCCCCAACCCAATACAGTCAATGCATGTCAATACAGCTGACGCCAAGCCAGCCGCCCGAAACCAAACCCTGAAAGTCAAACCCAGAATACCAAACCAAACCCTGCCTTAAACTACAAAAACTAAAGGGACTCGCCCAAAGCGAGGGCATCCAGAGCCAGAGCGATGCAACATTCAAAAAGACTGAAACAACGTCCTGCTAAAGCCTGTGGCCAAGGGAAAGAGGTTTAATCATGGCGAAGCATGGCCAAGAACCGGCATTTTCATGGATGTTCATGTCGTTCCACGTGATGTCCTTGATTTCTAAGGAAAGCCCGCGAGGGGAAGATCAAAGGCTTCACAGGCATTGATGCGCCATACGAGAGGCCGATGCGGGTAGATGACAGAACATGTTCCGAAACGTGGGATGTACCGAAACGCGTGAAACAGAAAAAAACATGAAACACCTTCCACTTCTTATAGCTTATCATCCGTAGCTGCAATGGTCAGAAGGTAGATTGTCAGGATGCAGTTTGGAGCCCCAGGGTGTTTCTTGATGTTCAGAAGCCCTGTTAGACATGTTCGCACCCTGGAGATGGGATCATTTTGTTTTGGGCAATGCTAGGTTCCAGTGTCCTGAAGGAAGCTGCGGTGATTGTCCAGCTTCACGGGAAATAATTAACTTGTTGAACTCAGATTGGCGGAGGCAAGCCGCCTTGGGCCATCAAAACGTATACGCCTATATATATATATATATATAGGTACCATATAATATATATATCTATATCTATATACTCATTCTAGTAATTACTCATTCTCACCAGGCATGACCGAGAGCCGGTCACTGCAGCATGCTTCTTTCAAACCCCTTTCCATCCCTTTCCTCTCCAACCTCAGTCCTCGTCACCTCCACAGACCGTGGCTGACGTGGCCCAGATGGCAGCTGTGTTCGATGAAATGTCGCCCCCGGGGCTCGCCTCGGACCGCCATGGGGTGCAACAGAGGGAGGTGGATAAGTTCAAGGCTCAGATCCTCCAGGTGCGCGGCTCAGGGCGAAGAGCCGTTTCGTTTTGGGCGGAAACGGGGAGTGCGGTGGTTCTGAAGCAGCGTTCGATGCAGCGAAGGAGTTCGCAGTATTTTTGTGAAGGGAGTGGCCCTTTATGACCTTCATGCGGGACGGGTGCGGCTCCCAATGATGAGGTGAAATTTGGTTTCCGGCATCGTGTGAGAGAAACTCGATGGCACGAGCTCTCTGCAGACGACTTGATGGGTCACCAGTAGATTAGCGTAGCTCGGGTACCTTCTTGCGAGAGCCCAGCGGGGAGCACGTCCACAACCTAGGATGCCAAGCCCCTTGCAGTATTAGAAGAAGTCTATCGACAGAAGACCCGCGCTTGTCTAACAGCAGCTCACTTGGCTTGCAGACTCACAACGACCACCTCGTGGTGAGTTACTCTAACGGAGTATATAACATAACACTGTAAGATTCATTCTGTCGTACTTCGAGCGAAAGAATGGGCACATGAGTTCACACGAGGAAAGACTTTGATCGGCTAGTCTTATTGTAGCAATCCAACAAAGATTGAATAGCGGCACCTCTTTTTTGCACTTCAGGGGCCACTTGCGCCGCGTCAGGATGTAGGCATACGTCTTCAGCAAGCGAAGCAAGAAACTGAACGAAAGGTTTCTGCTGAGTTGACGCTTGGCACTGAGGCGCTAGATGTTGAAGGTCAGAGGGGATGGTGCTTTGTTGCCTTTTTTGTTCTGTGATGTTCTGTGCTTCGGGTGCACAGCGCGGATACAAAGAAGACACGTTTAAAGTTACCCCACCCATTTACAAACTACGCAGACCTGGACCTTCATTTGATACATGGGATCTAAGATCTACATGGTATATAAGCGCAAAATAACCCAACATACGTTGTATCAATCGGAGTGCCTTCTCGCAATTCCTCCTTGCTACCGCCCTGCATATCACCGACAGCATCAAGAAAGGAGTGTTCTTTCTTCTTTGGCCCTACCACGTCCGAAGAAAGCCTTCCAGTAAACGCACGAAAATCACATGACCGAAAGCCCCAACCCTTTGCTGGAACCGTTGGGCATAGGCAAGAGCCCTTTAAAAGCAGGCTCAAAGGCCCAAGGAACACAGCATTTGGGCAAGTTCGAAGGTTCAGGGATTCTGCACCTCATCCTTAGGTCTGCTGGTCCTGTATCAGCATTGCTCCCTTTAGTCCCTTTAGCCTTCTTTTTGACTGGGCAGATTTGGGTGGGTTCTCGTCCAAAATCTGTCAGCACAGTTTTGGGAGCAGTGACGGTCGCAACCTGAAGGCCCTTGAGACCAGTGTGTTCCGTCCTCATTTCTCGAGCTCGGTCGGCTATGGCTCAACAATGGGGCACCCCCAGGAACACAGACAACATGACAACCTGCACCTTCCAGCTTGTCAACAAATCCTGTTACTAGTAGCGATGCCCTTTGTTCCTAGTAGCTTCTTGTTACTACTAGTAAGGCACCTGTTACTACTAGCGTGGCACCTGTTACTACTAGCAATCCATTTGTGTTATGTTTATTCGTTCTTTCGTGCCGAGTGTTGCCCGAGGAAGTACTTGCACGTTGCGATGCAAGAGATGGATCAGCGCTCCTTAGATGCACGTCGTGTTTGGTTTCTTCATTGGGGGTGGACACTATGCAAAAACGGGCGGTCCTACACCGGCCGAATCCAGGACACTGGCCTGCGCAAGACTGATCAAGCTCCTGGCACCCTTTATCGGGTCATTATGTATATAGACGTACTCATGTACAAAAGGGAGGCCCTCCAACCAATGGGTTTTGGATGGTTTTGGTCCATTGTCCCTTCTAGAGAGGCTTTTGTTTGACTTCTTTCCCCAAAAATCAAATCCCTTAACAATTTGTAGCCGGCTCATGCTGGGCCAGTAGGGACGCGAGTTCTTTCACCGACTCTCCTTGTGCAGCGGAAAGACCGGTCTGGGGCCGAAAGACCTCATGCAACTCTTTTGGAGTTGGCCCGGGGATGCCCGGGGACTGATTTGGAGGTCCAGAATGAGAAAGGAAACAGAACAAGATGCTTTGTTTTTGAAGATTATGTTTTTGCGTTGTGTTTTTAATGTGTTTTGCTAAATGTGTTTGTTTTTTTAATTTGGCCCGGAGGCCTCTAGCCTAGCCGTTGCTTCTTCAGTCAGAACCCTCCAGATTCCTTTTGGGGGCCCAGGCTTGGATAGTTTGAACAAGCGGCTTGAAGATGTACCGATGCTCGGACTGATTTGGCTTCGGGAAGACCCGGGCACTGCAGGGTTAACACAGGAAGGTTGAACTGTTGAACATCCCAAAACGTGGCTTACTGTTCTACTGTATGCAGGTGCGTCAAGACTGAAGAGGGGTCTCTGGGAAAACAGAAGGGGTGGCCATGGGGCCTGGGTTTTTGGTGTTCCATAAATTTCCATAAATATTAGGTAAATGCATCAGTGCCACAATCAAAACCAAAAAAAACGCTGATAAATATGCATAAAGGATAAAAAACACATAAGAAAAAAAACAACAAAACACCAAAAAACCTTGGGCAAACAAAAAACAACACAATTCTGGGAGACTCTTGGCTGGACCCCCCAAAATCAGAAAAAACAAAAAACAAAAAAAAACTTGGGAACATAAAAAAAAACAAACAAACCACAAAAAAACAATTCTCAGAGACTCTTGGCTGGACCCCCTTTTCCTCAAGACTTCCCCAGAATTTGTTTGTTTTTTGTTATTTTGGTTTTCTCAACGTTTTTTTGGTTTTTTGTTTTTTCTGATTTTGGAGGGTCCAGCCAAGAGTCTCTGAGAATTGTTGTTTTTTTTAATGGTTTTCCCAAGGTTTTTGTGTTTTAGCATCTGAGCTTACTTCTCATCTCAAGGCATCTGTTCTTTTTGCTTACATCTGAAACCGTCTCAGCTCAACACTTCCTTTGTCCTTGTCCAAATCTCCATATACAAGTCTGAGTGCATTAACTGCTGACTGGTATCAATGCGGTTGCCACTTGCATTTCCAAACAGCTTGACATGCAGTTGCGAGGACGCTCTATCCTTTACATGAAACGGTTGGAAATCTTTGCAAGCGTAATTCTGTGCTTGTAGCTCAAGCATTTTACATCGTATTCTGGCGAACTTCTAATTTTAATTCCAGTTCCTTTCTAATTCAACTCTCATCTAATTTCAAATAGGCTATAGTTATAGTTCAATACAAGTTTAGTTTAAATTCGGTTTTAATTCAGTTCTATCTTAGCTCTAACTCAAATCCAATTTAATTCTACCTAATTCTATTCTAGCTCTAGTCTATTTAGTTTAAGAAAACACATGCTACAAAACCCTGTGTTTTACAGTATTTCTTGCCCTGGAAGTGCTGGGAACAAGACAAAAACTCTTTTTTGGAGTAAATAGTTAGATTTTTTTGTTGACAGAAGCTTCTAATTCAAGAGCTTCCCTCTAGATCTCTGGGGGTGATCATTTCTACAATAAAACTATATATAAGCTCTCTTTTCAAAAGCTTTCCTTTGGATCTCTGGAAATGGTCATGTCAATTTAAACATGCTATATATCAATAACTAAGTCTTTCTTTCAAGAGCTTTCCTTTCATGAAAACACATATATATATATATGGGATATCTACTTTCCCAGAGATCCTGAGGAAAGCTTTGAAAATGCAAGCTCTTGCCCGCAGAAATCTAGAAGAAAGCTTTTAACATACAAGGTTTCTATATCGTTGTTTAAATCTAAACATGGTTATCTGCAGAGATCTGTAGAGAATCTTTTATAACACAAAAGCGTCTATATACAATCTTTCCAAATCTAAACATAATTAGAAGCAGAGATCTGGAGGACAATTGTTAAAACAACCACTTTTATGGCCTGCTTTTTTTCTAATTATTTTGTTCAACACCATCTGAATGACTGATTGCTGCTTCCAAAACAATCAAATTACCCTGACTCAGGAATACATAATATATTTGTTCATATAGAGTGAGAGCAAGAATAGATATGTGTGTTTATATGGAGAGGGGCTGCCACCGAAGCATTTATCTAAAATTTTGGGGAAAACCAAAACCCAGGCCCCATGACCACCCGCTCTCAAAAATACCCCTTTGTGCTGATTGATTACCGTGTATACATCCATTTGCTTACTTGAACCTGCGTTTTGATGGAATGCGATTCAAAGTCAAAGCACACATTCGCATACCGTGGGAGACACTTGCCGCTTCTGTCCAGCACACTAGCATGCAGTGGGTAGAGTCGTGCGCGGCCGAATTGGTGAACGGTGAGTCGTGCGGGGCTGTGCCTTCCAGTGACCTTCCAGGCTGTGATGTGTTTGGGAAACTCTTTTCGGCTGGGTGGGCGACATGCAAGATTTGGGGTTCAGCCTACGGATTCCACCAATGATGCTTCGGGAAACATAGACATTGACATCGACCTACGAACACACCTGGCTCCAATCCGACTATTTTGGGGCAAACCCTCAGCCTTAATTGCATCAACCACCACTTGGAGTTTTAGCCAAAGTTCAAGGAAGTGTTGAGAAAAGCTTGGTGTTCATCCTTTCGTTCGTTGCTGTACCTTGGCACCAGGATGAAAAAGCAAGATGCCTTGGAAGATGCACTCATTGTTCAAGCACTGGCCAAGGTAGAACAGCAATGGGGCACCTTGGCCAGCGAAATCCTGCCAGTTCCGTCGAGCGAAGTGATGTCTGTCTTGAGCTTCCGTGGCGTGGGAGGAAAGATGGGGAAAGCGGGGAGGCGTTCAAGATCACCCACAGTGGCTACAACAGTTGCAAGTTGTTGCAAGACTTGTCCCAACGTCCCAAAATGGTTCCAGAGACGGTCCTTTTTCGAGAGACCATCTCTGGATGTTGGGGTGCCGAAGGATCGGACGAAGACACCACTGTGAATCGCTCGACTGTGAAAGGCAAAGAGTTGGGAAAGTTGAAGACAGAGCTTCACCAAATGATTTATGCGCAACTTAGTTGAGATGTGTGGGCCGGTGTGGGGGGGGGTTGAAGTATGGCAGGCACAAGGCATCTTGTTGCATGATATGATTGAAACAGGGGATGGATATTATATAGGCTCTCTAGACTCTGTGAGGCAACTCGCCAAACAACAAATCACAAGATATGTAAAGCTTGATGCCTTCTCATTCCATGGTCAGCCTGTGCACATTATATTGATGTTGATTCGGCCTAGCGAGGAGACAGGGCTCAGGCGTAGTCGTATTGAAGAGATGATTGGTTTGAACCAGGTGCGTTGTGATTAAAGGTGAGCAACATGGCGGCGCTGACTTGCAGATGCTGTAGGTCCCTCTAATTGGGCCACATAAAGTAGACTTAATGCCATCGGTTGAAAGAACTACTGTACATCGCCTTAAACAATAATTAGGATCATCCAACTATGGCTTCAAGCAGCCTCACTCTCCGGAATGGGCCAGGCACAACCACAACGCCGACCTCATGAAGCACCAGAAAGAGACATGGGCTTCATTCTTGTAACATTTTACAGCATTAATTTTTGAATTACATGAGCATGATATCGACATGATATCACGGAACCGGAGGTAGACCCCCTTTTGCCACCGGGAAGTAGTAGTGCTACTCACCAGCCTGGACGCGCAGGGCTCCGCCGGTTCTCCGCGCGACCTGGGGGCGTTCGAGTTCGCTTTCGTGGCGGCTTTCAGAGCGTTAGTGGTGTCTACCATACGCAAAGCTAAACCCCTTTAGGTTGTGCAAGAAGAACTTACAGGAAGAGTGATCCCGTTGGCCCGTTGGGCGCGTCGAACGCATGTTGGGGGCAGGTTCGGCACAGTGCTCCGAGGAGACCCTGGACAAGATCCGCCAGGAGACCTTTGCGCGCGCGTCGCCAGCTTTGAGGAACACAGCTTTGGTCAAGAGGGCCCTGGCGAAGATCGCAGCTTGGAGAAGATGGACATAGATGGACATGTGGCGCCTCCGGATTGTTGGGCACATCCACCGAAGGTATGGCCTGACCTCTGCATCTCCCAACACACACCTTGAGAACAGAGGACATACTTGTGTAACATGTGACATTTTATGACTCATTGCAATCAATTCTTGGGTGCCACATGTGGATCCCCACACCATGGATTTGGTGGAATGGTTCTTGTGACCCGACCTCGCTGGCCGAGTACGGACCCAACGGATGAACGGTGGGAACGGACTGACCCAGTTTCGCGCCGCCGCTGCTCGTTCGACCTCGCCTCAGTGCATCAAATGAGCAGCGAGATTGAGAGGCCTATTTCAGCCGGCATCGCCCCTATTGCCCTTAGTAAGCCTTACTAAGGCCCTACAAGTAGTGACTACCAGGGTGTCCTGTGATTTTGGACGACAGCAGCCACTGTCCATGCTTCAGGATGAGCATCCTGCGGTGAACGTTCCACACATCGCAGTGGGTCAAATCCTGCGACTCGTTTTTCACCATCAGAGGCTGAGGGTTGCACCTCTTCAGAACCGCACCGCGTGGCCCCGCGTCTTAGGCCGGCATCGAGGAACATTTGAGAAGCTCGCAGGCCATTGCAGAGAGCGCCACAGAAACTGCCACGACTGGTTGGCTCGCCGGTGAGCTCCATGGTGAATGGTCCATTCCCTGTCATACTCAAAAGGAGGAAGGACCCAGAATTGTTAGGCTGTTAGGTCTTGACAGCATATTGTAAATGCAATGACCTACTCGGCCTTTGTCAGATCTTCAGGATTGCTTATTTGTGACATAACGAAGTCTACTAGCTGAGTCTCTCAAATGTCTATATATAATGCTTTGTTGACAAATGCACGCCAATGTTATCTAATTTTGCTATGAAGTCCGAGATGCTTTTGGTTGTTAGTTGTTAACCTTCGTGAAGCCTTGATGTCACCTCTGTCATTTATCAGCCTCGGCCAGGGACTCCTGTTTCTTTGGGACTCTTGTGTGTTTCCAGCTTGGGCGCTTTTTGCGTTCTGAAGTTTTACGGCTGTAGCTAGCAGCTACTTGGAGATATCAAGCGGAGAAAACTGGGAATGCCCCTGGCTTGGAGTGTTTTTTTGACTTTGGCTATTCCCAGTCCACCCATCTTCATTTGTGGTCCAGTTGTGAACAGCCAGAACGGTCTTGAAAACTCAAGTCGAGCCTTGAAACTCAGCATGTTTCTTGGCCGGACCAGATCCTACATCAGAAGATGGAGCCTTTGCTCCCACGACACTGGACAGCATTTGCGGGCTGAAGGGTGAAGAGCCGGAGGATAAATTTATAGAAAAAGACAGATGGAATATATGAATGCAGTGGTGAATGCAGTGCTTAATCATATCATTTATTTATTACCACTATTAGCATCATTAAAATGGCTCATGTTTTTGTGGTAAATAGGCAGGTCCAGTTGGATGTGATATGGTACAATGAAGGTGAACACCGCAATAGTGTCATAGTGCTGCTTGGCAGATGCGGAATTCAGGAAGGCGGCAGCTATTGTTCATAATCCCTCCAAAACAAAACAAACACGCATCGAATGTGTTCCCAGAAAACAATTCGTCACCGACCTGGCCTGATATGTCCTGCATCCATGTTGAAGTTGTCAACCTGCACTGCAATCATGCCCTGGCATTCCTCACCCTCAACAGAGTGGGGCTGACGTCGGCGCATGGGTCGATCATCTAAGGAGTCGCGACCCTTGAGCGGGCGGTGGCGCAGTGGGCCGCACCGTCTGGTGGATATCCCTTTGGCCCCAACCAGGCCCCAACCAGGCGGAAAGCGCGTGATGTGGCGGACGCCGCGTGCTTTTGACGTATGGCGCTGGGGTTGTGGGGCATGCGGTGCTCTCTTGAGAGATGACGTTTGTGGAGTGGATGACTGAATGACTCCATCGACCATCACAGAGCCCCTTTGTGACGCATTTGTAGACCATGGAAAGAAATACTGTAAGGAGAGAGAGAGAGAGGGACCTGTTTGCCGCCTTTAGTCGAAACATGTCGAAACCACAGATTGCAAAGAGGCCGCAACAAAATCAAATTGTATTGAATACTGTTGGGTTTCGCTGCTTCAAAAGGTATGAGTCTCAGCGAACACAATGCAAACTTTGCAGAGACAAAGTGGGCGAGCTGCTAACACTGTAGTGAACACTTTAAATCCCGTGGGACTTCGCTGCAAAGTCCTCAAAAGGTCTCAGAGCAAAGTGCCCTCACCGCCCAAGTGTTGCAGAGGACTGGACGTTGTTTTGGCCCTTCTCGTGCTTATGCGCTTATGAACATATGAGTGACATTGAATGACTTTTGGTTAGAGACTTTCCTCGTCAACGTTTGCAGAACTGAAAGGTTCTAAACGTCTTCAAGTATTTAAAGGAGCCCCTTAAGCTTTGCATTTTTGGAGATGTAACGTTGGGTGGGTTTTGGGCAACTTGGAATGCTTCAACATTGCTCGTTTTGCACGTTCATGTTTTCAAATCTTTAAAGTTGCTATACTAGCTGCGACAATTAAACTTACATGTAAAGCCTGATGTTAAAGCATGCGCTTCATTTTTACTTGGGGTATCAGATGTGTGGACCGGCCTAAATATAGACCTAAGTATGAACGTGTAGGTTCTGAACAGTTTGGCAACCTTTTGCTTTTTAGGCATTCAGCTAAGATCAACTCTATTTATGCATCATTTTGGAATCTCCCACGCCAATAGCTTTCCAATCGACTGTGCATGGGTTTTCCCTATTAAGCGCATTTTGCTACTATTCATTCACATCTACCTTTGACCGACCCTGAAACATTACGTCCTAGGTTGCCAAGGTGTAAGTGTGACGGGGACAGGGTGAAACCATTGAACATACACAAGCGGCTTCGGCATCTCAATTTAACATCCAAGTTACTTTGATGCTGAACATTGAGGTAAAATGACTCTGTGATAGTTGCAAAGTTCTTATAGCATTTATGCAATTTTTGCACTCCCTCATTTGCGTACCACAATGGTTTTGCTGAAGATGCGCGATGCTTGGCATATGCCTTTCCCACATCAGGCTTGGTTGACCTGTCCCAAAGCAGTTATTATTGGTCAACCTTCACTGGTTTCCGTAGTGTTTCTTTTCTCGCCACACCCGTCTCAGCACAACGAGGCCTCCTTTGTCGGTGCTGGATCCGCCTTGCTCGGTGCCTGTCCCCCCACCGGACTACGAGGCACAGGTCGAGAGCCCTGAGGAGAGCAGACGGGAGACATGTCACTGACGATGATGGTCGTTCAACCAAAAGTGGTAACCCGACCTGATGTCGCTGGTCATCCTTTTTGGATCTACTTATTGTTGGGGAAACATGTTGGTATTATATACTAATTGCAGCCAGTTACTAATTAGATTGGATTCAGATATTTTTATGGGCCTTTGTGGCAACCTATACGTGGTAAAACTCTTGTGAAGCCGTGTCATACTTGCCTGTAGATGTTTGAAGTGAAACTTGAACATTCAGCAAAACATCTTTTTTGAAATAGCAAGAAGTGTCCATTGGCCACGGCTTTGCGTTAGCAAACCTGTGGTGTGCTGTGTGTGTGTGTGTAAGGTTGCGTAGGGTCCATGTGTGTAAGATCTTGCTACCGCAGTGGGAGATGTTTGACATGAAGTAAATGCCATGCCAGTGTAAGGTTTGCAATGTTACTTACCTGGTGTCAGGAAAGCCAGTTGACGAGTAAGCAAGGTGTAAGAAGGAGCAGTAAAAGGTTACTGTGTATATATATATATTATATATCTATCTATCTATATATATATACATCTAATAACAAGTAGTTACATACACACACATATATTTATTATGTGTTATTTATATTTACAGTGGACTTCTGTCATGTTGCATCCATGTCAGGAGGACGATGAGGATGACGAGGAAGATGATGAGGAAGAGGATTCCTTCGGAGAGTTGGGGGCCATCTTGAACAAAGCGAGCGCCGTGTACGACACCAGCAGCCCCGCTGCATTTCACCGGCATCGTTGAGTGGTTGGACATGGGAGAGCGGAAAACCTTGCAATTCGAGCTGCAAGGTTTTAGGGCCGTCCATTTTTTCCTTACATGGTGGCTGAATGTAGAGTTCAACTTCAGAATCTTCAGAGATCTTCGAAGATTTCACCTTCTGCACCAGAGTAGTTCAAACACTTATGTTTCAAACATATTGTTGGCGTTGCACACAGCTGCAGCCATGCCGGAGTTCTTAGGATGAATCAGTTGACGCCAGCCCGGAGTTCTTTGTCTTTCTTTCTGTTTGTTTCCTCTCAGATCCCCAAAGCACATGACCTCAGCAACCACGTCTGCATGAGGTTCATGAATCTGCCGCAGTGCCATGGGCTGTGACAGAGATTGCTTCCGTTTTGCCAGCGCTGTCGTGACCTGAGGAGTTTCATCGTTTCTTCCGTCCAAGTTTTGGCACACAGGTCACAGGACACTTGAATACTCTTTCTGGCGCTTGGAGGGCGCTGTCTTTGAATCCGGTTTGAATCCAAAGAGTCTCAAAGGAGGATTCCTCGAGATTCGACGTTCCGGTGAAATCCTGCGGGCCTATGAGAGAGGTCGAAACACAGCATTGGGATCAGAGAAAATGGGCAGCGAGTGCGTCCTTGCGCGTCCCTTTGGGAAGTGGGTGAGATTGGGTGAGTGAAGTGGTGAATGCATTTTTGTCCCGCATGACAAGTCAATGATCGCACGAAGCATCCCAGCTTCTTGTGCCACGGATGTGTAATCATTAGACGGCCGTAGTGTGGAGGCGGAGAATTCTTATGACTTTTTGCATTCTTTTACCCACAACTCGGTTGGTGTTCTGGCTCAGTTGATTTGCTTGGTGCAGCACTCAACAACCAATCAAGTGAAGCAAATCTTTTGCAGGAAAGCTGGCCCTGTGCTTGGCTACATGGCTACCCGAACCCTTGACACGAAAAGCAGACATCGACGTCAGTCCCCTCGGTCATCTCAGCATCCGCTGACCAAGTGTGCAGGAAAACCCACGTTTGGAGCTGTTGTGCACCAAATCATTGACAGGCCTGAGAAGCCTGAAGTTCATGTACGAACAGATCAGTTGTCTGTGGCTGCTCGGGCATTCCCCGAGAGGGGCGGAGGATGGCGGGGCGAGAAGGGGCCTTTTGTTGCGTTGACGAGGAAAGACGTCGACTATTGATGACTGAGGAAAGACATCGACTCAGTTATTAATTATATACACATATATATATATATTTATATATATTTAAAATTTCTTATATTATATCGTATCATTAGGCGAGAACATCTGGGCAAATATCCTCCTGTTTCGTATCAGGCCGGTCTGGACAGATGTCCGCCGTTTTGAGGGCCAGGCCGCGTTTGTCATTGGTTTGAACGCAGGGAGTGCACTTCACACTAGGGTGAAAACCGAATGGAAAAGGCCCACAGACTCCAGGAGATTGAGCAAATGCAGGTGGTGCCACATAGGCAATGGTGTGGCGGTGTGGCCCGCCCCAAGGTCCAGTCTGTGAATGTCATCTTGCAAAAGCTGCGGCCTCAAACTGATCACATTCCGGAATTCATTTCTTTGTGATTACATCAGTTTCGGGACGCTATCCCGCAATGGTTAGAGGGATGCACGTTGCAGGATGAAACAATATTGAGCAAACGTGCCATGACATAATGCATTGGAAGCACTTCACCCCGTGGTCAAGTTAAGTTATGTTATGTACTACTTGTGTGCTGAAATTGAAATGCTTCAAGGAGCGTCCTCTCTTTGCCTCGTTCTCTTTGTTTTTTTGTGTCTCAATCTTTGCAATCATTGCAGGTGACGTCGTTGCAGTTGCCTCCTAGACATTTGTGGACACGAGAAGTGGATGATGAGAACCTGATTTCAGGGGCAGTGGGGAAACTGCTGAGCAAATCTGCAAGAGTCTTGCGCAGCCTCAGCTTGGCTCAGGCTGGACGAGTTCGGGCTGCATTTGCAGCAAAGCTTCAGGCGGACTGACCTATCGGCTCAATGCCGGTGGAGCTCTCGAGACACTCCACATGGAGTCCCAGGTATTTCTCAGTTCGAACGGGATGGGCCATGATGGGTCTTGGGCTGGAGTTGGGAGATCGCTGTGGGGGAAAGAGAAAACCGCAACTAAGCAAGGCTTAAGCAACCAAAAGCCGGGCCTTACGCATCTCTCGCCAGGCCGCTGGAGGAGACGCCCGAGGAATGCGAAGCCATCGCCAAGTGAGAGCTCGGCGCGACAGCTCTGGCCTTGGAGAACAGGAGAACCATTGCGAACTGTGCAGGAGGCACTCTACCTCAAGCACTGGGGTCATAGGACTCATACCGCAGGTAGACCATCATAATAGACCTATCAATGAAACATGTTGCCACGTTTGATTTCTGAATAGCAGACGTCAGGCTGACAGGCACACCTGCGGAGAGTCACGCCCAAGGATCCGCGGTAGTGCTGCTCGAAGCGCTGCGACTTCGCGGCGCGAAGTCGCGAAGCGCCGCTGGTTGGCAACCTTCTCCGAAACCAATCGAAACCTTTGCCCTTCCTGCAGTTGAGCAGCCGAACCTCAAGTGACCTGAAACTGTCAATCTTCACTGTGTGGACCGAGCATCAGTTTGGGCTGTGGGGCCCGTGGGGTTGGTTGTCTCGCGGTGGCAGGCATTTTACAATGGGCTTTGTTGGGAGCCGATGGCACAAAGAGTTGATGTGGTTGTGGAGGGTGCTTTGATCGGACATACGAGGGTTTGTGCCCCCTGGCTTTCAGGTCTGTGTGAACTCCTGAACCTGTCATTTGTTTCTTGAGTACAGTAGTCGATCCTGCTGAGGTTTGTCATTGAATTCAGTGCTTTGCACCTGGGAGATGCGGCAAACAATCATTGATCATGGATGATCATGGTAGGTTTCAAGTTCAAGTCATTTCGTGAGGTTTGAGCGGGCTCAGAGGTGGCAAGGGGATCAGTGACAAATGTCACGTAGCATGCGTAGGCGCAGCGTTGGCATGCGGTGGAGGGCTCAATCGCCTGAGTCAGAGAAATGGAGCCTGTGCCTGTGCCGAATCTCAGCTTGTTGTACGGGTTGGCCTGCGGGGATAGGCTAGAGATTTTGGATGTGAAAATTACTCGGGTGGAACTGCACCCTCATGCAAGAACATGCAGTTTGAGATGCCACCCAGGCACTGCCCTTGATGTTTGATGATGGAGACTGGAGTGATACAGTACATTGTATGATGTATGGCAATCTCATGGATCACGTTTGGAGCAGGGACATGTTGATACATTTTGCAGTAGTTCAACTTGGGTAGGGTGCATTCTGTTGTTTGGGTCCCTTGCGCACACGCACACAGAGTAGAGAAATGGGTAATCCATTGTGCCATTCAGAACCGTGGATGATGTTGTGCCGGAGGCGACAAGCTGCCACCTTGCGAGAGGCCTTGAAGGGCTGAAAAGGGGCGATCAGGCCTTCTGTCGACTAAGTGAGGGATTCTGACCGCTCGATGAACGCTTAGAATAGCTCTCACCACACCTTTGGGAAGGTTAGGACCAAAGTGACGAAACTCCATAGTTCTGCATGGAACAATGATCATCACAGTCATCATGGAACGCTTGCCCTTGAAGCTGTTAGCCAACCACGGCAAATGCATCCCAGAAATCCCTGACTTGATCGAAAACATTCGAAAACGACTGCTCTCATTTCCGCAGCTTAAGTGGAGGCTTGGCTGAATAATATTGTTGGCTCAATTGGAATCATAGAGGGCAGTTGATGGTACACAAGATTACACAAGTCTTTTTCCCTCACTTCACGGTGCACAGTTCACTCATGTTCACTGTCTAAGGATGACGGATGACCGTTGCCACAGATGTTGAACAAGTCATGTTGTCCAAAGGCCGAAAATGCCGTGCTCCGAGCGAGTAGGCAGCAACTCATAGCCGAACCCAGGGCAGACGGGTATTTTGTGGTAGAGCATTATGCCATAAGCACTTACTGTCACTTACTGTATCTGTATGTATGTGTCATGGGCGCTTGATGTACTTACTGCCTCACTGCTAGAACGTACTCCATGCTGGAAGCAGGAGCGCGTGGCCAAGCAGGAGGAGCAGAAGCTCTCACAGCCCGGATGCTAGAGGGTTCACTGGACTTTGGGTTTGGATTGGGTGAAATCAGTCCTACCAGCAGTCCAACAAACATACTGTATATATATATATACTGTATATGTATGTACATGTACATTTGTAAAACGACAGTTGATAGGGAGCATGCAGTAGCAGGTTTGTTTCAATATAGGGAGATCCTCACAAATTCATTCACCTGGCAGACAGGAAGTGGATCTGGACTCTCATTTGAGACAGTGACAGAGCGACATGCAGAGTGAAAGCATCTCAAAGTCTTGGGATCCATTCTTGCTTGAGCTCCTGGATGTGTTTCAAGCTCAGCTCCTTTCATTGCTGACCCCCTTCCATGAATCGGCCCCTAATGAAACAAACATATTTTCCATGAGCTTCACGGGCACCGGATCCTCATGGATCCTCGAATGCCTGAGATTTGGGGCTTTCTCGCCTCGCGGCCACGCAGGGCCACGCAGGTTGGCCATTTGCTGTTGGTTTCCAGAGCTAGTTCGTGGCAATTTGGGCATGTAAAGAATATCGACATTGGAATCTGGAGTCCAACATGGTCCAACAGATCTTGTATGAACCACTGAGTGACACTCCTTTGCCGTATTTTTGGGGATACCGGTGATGTCCCGACAGTGACCTGCCTTTTGCGACCGAGGTCCCGAGCAGCCGAGGTGCCGAACACGCGGAGTCACTCCGATGTGGTTTGCAGAAGAGGAAGAGAAGCTCCTTTCAAAGATCCTGATTCACCGATGGTTTCATCAGTTTCATCCATCGAGGTCCTGTACTCCTGGGAATTCTTTGAGAAGTCCCTACATCTCAATGCATGCGATGGATGGTTGCAAGTTGAACATCTGCAACCATGAATGGGGAGCTATTTTTCTCCTGAAACTGGCACAGCCAGGAACATCCGAGGACGAACTTGAAGGTGGTTTGGCAGTGTTGGCTCAGTAAACCCCAAAGTGGCAATTGAAGATCATGTCATGATCAAACCAAATGTAGATCAACAGATGCAACATATAGATGCTGACCACACCCCGCAAGCCAACGGCATTCAACCATTGTATTGAAACATGGGCCGGGCCTGAAATTTAAATCAGATGGATGAGAGCCAGCAGATCCCGGTGGCTCAATGCTGTATGTCAGCCAGCCGGCACAACTTGAGTCACAACTCCCCATGAGTTGTTTCATGTTTTTTTCATCCCAAAGTATGCCCTGAAACATGCGACGTTTCGCTGATTTGTTTCTTGGGAATTCGACAGATCAATTGAACAGAGCAGAGCAGTTTCACGGCCACTGTGCAAATCTTTCACATAGGCCCCGTGTCCAATGGCCCATCGCCCAGCGCCCAGTGAGAGCCATGCCACGCGGGGCTTGCTCGCCGCTGCCCTTGCAGTCACGGCCCTCGCTCGAGCTGCATGGCAAAAGAAATGAAACATAGTGACCACCGTTCCAGGCAAAATAGAGTTTTGTCCCAAGTGCTTTTTTACGACCGATGGATGAAGATGTCAGGAAAGGCCACAATCTCCTGGGAACAGCGCTAGGAACGCCACCGAAATGTTCATGCACTAGAACAAGTATATAATAGTATATATATATATTATATATACATGTTTTTTGAAGCAGACTTGCTTACCCTCAATGTCCTGTAGCCTCCGGTTGCTTGACTGAGCAGTCAGATGAATGGTCCTCTTTTTTGCATTCTCTTGCAGCAGTTTGGGGCTGTGTCCTGTTGCATTTTGATTCTGCATGCCATGGCAACCCCCGCGGATATGTCATATGGGTTCATAGGCTATTGGCCATCATAGGAAGAATTCTGGTCGACAAGCTGGTTGGTCAGCAGCTGCCCACAAATGAAGGTAGCGTTGGTCTGGTGTTTCTTGCGATTGTGCGACCATTGCACCGGCGAAGATCACGCGAGGCCTGGAAGAACTGACCCAACCACCCGTTGCCTATAGTGCCTGATAGTGCCTGATGTCTTGAGGTGGAAGCCCGGAGTTTGCGAGGACGGTTTGGGGGTCCCCGCCTTCGACAAAGCCTTTGATGATCACTTCATGATCAACTCGGAGCCTAGGACTGATGGACAGTGGCGCCATATCCATTTTTTCGTAGACTCAGTCGTCCGAGCTGGATGCTCGGAGCCCAGGAGTTGATTTCACAGGCGCTGGAAGGAACTGCCAATGACAGCTGCTCCTCTTTTCCCGAGAAGAAAAAGCAACCGCAGGCCAGCGCGCGCGGCCAGCGCGGAAACCATGCGCAATTAGAGCTGGTGCGGGACTCGCTGTGCCCGCTTTCCCTTTTGCTTTGAGAGCTCGAGCGTGTGTGCAATCAGACAGACGGATGGGATGGCGATGATGATCATCAGGGTTAGAAATGGTTAGAATCATAATGATAATATGGGCGGTTATGTAAGGCAATATACCCTCCCTCAAACAAGCATGGAAGCTGAGCAGACCCCCCTTGTAGAGGACAATTGGTCTTCCAGGGGCCTATGTTCCACTTCCATGATTGTTTCAGGGAGTGTAATGCAATGATATATATATATATATCTGTCATTATCTCCCACTCTCTGTATAAACATATATATATATATATAGCGTGTGTAAGTGTTTGAAACCCATTGCCAGCCAACGTTGATGCGTGCAATTGATGCGACTCGCGCTTTTATTTTTGCGGGGGCAATGCCCGAAACGATTGATTAATGTACATCATATCAGATACATACCAGATCTAAAGGCCAAAAAGCGAGAGAGAGAGAGAGAGAGAGAGATGGAGAGAGCACACGCAGTTCTCACATGTAGCCCAACCCCATGCGATGGATCGTGTTGCATCATCTCCCGTCAAATGGCTGTGACTTTGAAAGATTCCGCCCGCTTGGAGGCTTGGGGCATGTCGGTGGGCTTGCTTTGGAAGCTTTGGCTCTACATCCGGGAACCTTGGCGGCTGAAGTACAAAGCAGAGGAATGTCATGGAATGTGTCAAGCAGTTTGTTGTGTTCGGCACTTGTGAAGCTAAGTGTGGAAGTTCTGGAGAGAAACACAACATGACCATGCTAAATGCTGACACTCGCAGCCTTTTTCCCAAAGAGATTTGGCGGTTGTGACCAGGGAGGGTTGCAAGGTGTGCTTCAGTAGCGTGTGTGGTGTGTGTTACTGTAGTTAGTATGCAAGGTCTTGATTGGGCAAGCACCTGAACACATGCCAGAAATACTTGCAGAGTTTGACAGAGTGTTGTTTAGGACAGTGCACATATGTGGAGTGTATAAGTATTGTACAAGTGTATATATATATAACTATATATATACAAAGAGCTGCCCTTTATTGTTGCTTTTTTTCTTGCCACCGGCGCCAAAAGAAGCCATGCTGCCTCAAAAAGCTAAAGGAGATAGAGAGAACTGTAACAAGAGGATTTCTGTGGAATGGTCGTGTTAGCGCTCAACGCCAGCGAAGACCATCCCCAAACGCTACGGACTTGCAGTGATTGTCAGCCTGTGAAGGAAGACCTCTTGGGGTATGCCGCTGCACATCGAACTGATGGTAAGACTGATGGCAAGCGCAGACACAAATGTGGCTGGGGCAGGAACTGTAAGTGCGAAGGCCCTTCGAGGTTTAATGGAACATATGTTTATGGGTGGGTTTCCTATGTTTTTGTTCTCAAGCATTTGCCTGGGATGATTTGCTTTGATACGAGTATGCTGAACCGGTATAACAGCACAACACATGTGGGCTTGGATGCTGCATGTTCACAATAGATTAGTGCAAGAGATTTGCTCAATTGGTCCGACCATCCAGCTGTCACATAGGGAGCCATGACACAAAGTATTGGACGGATGGAGGGTTGATTGTACCTGTCTGTATACCGTCACCCAATTCTTCCACCTTCATCATTTAGGTGGCAATTTTTTGGTCACGTCATTTCCTGCGACTGTTCGAGGTCATCAAATCTAATTAGTCTAGGTGTTTCTCCAAAGTCGGGTGGCTGACTCTCAACGATCCCCGAAACCCAGCAGCGCAATGGTGCAATGGTGCTGAGACAGAGCTTGGATCTGAGTTGGTTTGACAACTCTCGGAGCTTGGACAAATCTGGTTTGTTCCGTTTTTCTTGGTACGTATTTTTTGAACTAGGGGAGGATTTCCCTATATATATATGCCTTGTTTGGATGGTCGTTTTGATGGAAAAGCCACTCAGATCCTGCGTTCTTCTTCAGGCCTCGTCGATCCGTGCTTGTGGACGCACTGGGCGGATGACGTTCAACCCACCTCCAGTGGGGCTGCCTCCAGCGACGGGTGCGAGAGGATGAGGGGAGACATGCACTTGGTGGTGCAACGCCACCAAGATGAAGATGGCCTGGGAGGGAATGTGGGAGGGATTCAACTTCCGAAAGCGCATGCGCGGGCTGCTCATGCTGGGATGAGCCTCGGAACGAATCGATCATATATATATATATATATATATGGCAGAACTTTTCACAGCAGAGCGGACCTTTCGCGGGGTATTTGGCGTCTTCTTGTGCGGATAGGTTTTTGTTCTCCCAACTCCTCCGGACATTTCCAGAACCAAAGAAAGACCACACGTGAGGCTACGTCCTACCCTGGACCAAGACCTTTGACGCTGGCTTGGCCTTGGTTTTGAAGCTTGGCGTTTTGGATGAGGATGATGTTGTTATGTTGCTGTCAATGGCCGTTTTCTGAGGCTAGACCTTTGGTGATAGAGTCCCCCTGAGGTTTGCGAATCTGCTGTTTCAAGCTCAGGAACGCCGGAGGAATAGCCTGGTCGAGACGCTTGTCATCCGACAGAAGTCATTTTGAAGTTTGCCACCAGATCATCTCTAGCTTGGACACGTTTGTTTCAAAGAGCATTTTGTTGTCATAAAGCAAGAGGGGATCCCGTCAAGGGATTGATGCCCTTTCAGTGGTTGGTGGCCATTGAACACCTTGCAGTCAGTTGTGAAGGAATCTGGCACTTGGAGCTGTGCGCCAAAACTTAGCATACATACTCGTAGTAGCGAATGCCATGCGAGATTTGCCACAATCAGCTTGTCATATTTAGTGTCGTGTTATTGTACCTCAACCCCCCCGAAATCCACAACCTTAATTAATCTGTTTGTGTAATAATCTGAAAACCTCAACCCCGGACAAAAGGAATGGTGGGGGATACGTGTTGGTCGGGTCATTTATTCAGAAGAGCCTTCGAGCACGGATCGCACACAAAAGCCTCTTAGGAAGACGATGCTAGTGATGTGGCAGTTGCTCCATGTATGGCAGGTTTCCTACATTAGGGTGGTTTCAGCCTTTAATCTGGATCAATATTTCATGGAGTGTTTGGTGGTTTTTGGGGCGGGAAAATGGTCAGCCAATTGTTCCCTTTTGACTGCGGATCTTGGTGCCGTCCCGGTGCCCCTTGGGGGGCGCTTTTGGTCCAGTCCGAGACTTCGGTCTCCACCCGGAACCCGGTCGTTCGGAACGACCAGGTCGTTCGTTCCGACCTGTGAGGAAAGTCGGCCGACTTGTTCTGCATGGCGAGCACTTTTGTTTCGCACAGCTGGGCCGAAGCCTTTGAAGATTTCGCGCTCACCTTGCATCGACTCCTGGATGAAGAGGCGACCGCCCGGATGTTGTGACGGTGACGGGTCCACGGGGGAAGGCTGTTTGGGAAGGCCGAGCCATGGAAGGCCCACCAATTAAGGCCAGGAATTCGCAGAATTGCTGTAATTAGGCCAACATTAGCGTCCATCTTGGGGCAGTTCCAAAATTGCATCCCTTCTCAAGCTTCGTTGATGAACTTCGTTTGGGGGAAGTCGCACGGCAGATTGGTAGCACAGAACTTGGGCCTGTTTGCCTTTGCAGGCCGTGGTTTGGATTTGCAGCTTTGCTTTGCTCCTTGGATTTGAAACAATGGAGCACTTTTGCATTGGAGCATATTGGAGGATATTGGAGTGCCTTTGTTCTCGATCCCAGGCAGCCCCACCCCAGTTTTGACATGTTTTAAAATAGCATGTTTTATTATGTTTTATTTGTTTTTTTCTTCTTGTCTTAGGGATGACTGACGCGTTGGGCGGAATGAGTCGGGAATTTGAACAGCTGTGGAGTCTGTGGAGGCTTTCACGCATAGAATCGCGGTTGTAACATTTTGTATACAAGCCATTATCGTTTACCTTGTCCGCTCTCGTCAGCTCTAAAGTCGGTTTGTGTTTAGCGTGTGTGGTTCAAGGCTACTTGTCTCTCAAAGAATGGTCTGACCGGAGCACACCCGGCCTTTCGAAATTCGTTCCATTTCAGACATGGAGACGTCGCCTTAGGTGGCAGCATGGAGACATCTCAGCCAGTGCGGGGCCTTGGCGAAGCGATGCGACGCCCGGAAGCGAAGATCCAGATGGATCCAGATGGATCCGATGCACCCAACGGAATCCACTGGTAGTGGAGAACTTACAAAAACAGTGGCCCAAGGAATTACGTCTACTACTGCGCACACGATGTGGCTTGAGGGTCAACCCACTTCCTGTGTGTCACTTGAAATACTTCTTTGCGGCAGAAGCTCAGTTGACTGAGAAACAAATCATTTGGGATGGCCAAGCCTTCACGATCACAACCTGACCACCCAAATGATTAGGTGACTGCCTGACCAGCCTGACCACCCAAATGACGAACATGCATCAAACATCATCAAACAATGTCTACAGTCTCCAGCTTCCACAACTTGTGGGAGGCTCATGGACCGTCCTTGACAGCTGCTGGACCCTAATACAAAGGGGTTTGAGGTCTCAAATCCATAGTCCTTGAGGTTTTGAACGATTGTTCGGATTGTGTATTGCTATGATTGATAGACCTCTCCCTTCTGCACCTTTTGCAGCTTTTGAGGTTTGTCCTCCTTGGATAGATGTCCTTTCGCCATCGGCATGCGTGCCGCGCGACGGGTTCTGGTGCTCACGGAACCTCGGTGGCACCGGCGGTGGTCCCCCCAATCCGACTCGTCGTTTTGACCATCATCTCAAAAAGATCCAAAAGTCTCAAAAGGAACCCGCCAAAAATCAGACTTGTTTCAAGGGGCCGATTCTCGTTCTGCTGCTTTGGAGGATCACAGTGCAGATACCTTGGAACGCTGCTGGGTGGTCTTCGAGGCAGCCTTGGCACATGAGCTGGGGAAGGAGATGGGATGGGACATCGCGTTTTTGGGGGGTTCATGGTGTCCATGTTTGGTTCTTGGTCACCTTCAGGTGAATGTGCAGCATTTAGCCAACTGAAGTGGTTTTCGGCGTGCCATGACCGGGGTGGCATTGCGGTCAGAAGGCCCAACCGGGTTTTCGTCAAAGTGCTCTTATCAGATCTTATCAGTACTTCTTTAGGAGTCTCCCTACTCTAATGCGCACCATGACTATGTCCTGATTCCAACAGCTGTTCTGTGCTGGCCGAGTTCAACCAGCACGGCTGCGCGTTGGTCGACGCGTGCGCAGGACTACAACATTTGCTTACCCGATGACGGGGACGCCGCCTCCTGGCGCATCGTAGGCCATAAACTCGAGCAGCTGGACGTGGAGGCGAGGACGCAGAGGACGTGCGGATGCGGAGGTCGAACTTTGCCAACCAGGCTTGAAGGAGTTTACATAATAAGTACTGCAACATACTGCCACTGAGTTCCCCAAGGGTCAATGTTAACATTGGTTTTCGTGCTTGCAAGTGCATCTAATAGGTTGTTGTTAGGCGTTCCAGGTTAACAATCCTGAAATTCAATGTACAGTAGCTGACCATTGCCATGATGTGGTCATTTGAACTCCTTTGTGGTCATTCCCTTGCAATATCTTGCAATAGACCGCGTCCTTTTTGGTCGCATTCGTTTATTCCATTTTTGGAGTGGAAGATGCCGGTGTTTTGTAGAGCGATCAGGCCTGCAGGGCATCCAACAAGCGGGACAAAGAGGAGATTTTGAGCTCCACGGATGGTGAGACAGTCCAGTGGAATTCCGGACGAACCAGCTGAGACAATCAGCGATACCATTGGGAGATGGGGAGATGACCCAACCAAACCAGCTATTGGCTATGGGTTCTTTATTTGGGTTTTACATGGGGTGCAACTGAGCAATGCTTGGGGGTGGATTCATTGTACCAATCCAGGGCTCTCATTTGGTCTAGTATGCCAACATATCATCACAGTCAAGAATTGGATGAAGACAAAGCCTCAGCAAAAACGGTGCTCGTGACTTCTGCATTGTCCATATCACATTCCCATAACTTCCAAGGACTTGAACATCAATTATGGAAGTCATCCCTCCACCACCGCCTTTGGAGGCACTTGTGCCCAAGGGCGCGCTTTGCCAAGGCTTCATCCGAAAGCAGAAGGGCGGCATTTTCGCGTTGAACAGTGCCTTGGGCAGATCTTAGGGCACCGGACTCGGATTCAAGAGTGGTCCGGGAGTCCGTTGCTAATTTTAAGAGACATGTGACTGCCATTTCTTGGTAGGAAAACACATTCAACTCCGAAAGCAGTCCAACGTTGCATCATCTCAGGTCTAAAAGTTGATTCGTCCCAAGTCCAGGTCCGTTTTGTCTGGGACACAGGGCTCACCAGAACAGAACATCGCAACCATGCATGGAGGTTCTTGCACGTCCCTTTCGGCTGAAACAAGCCCCGTTGACCAAACAGCACACACCTGCAGATCCAAAGATTTCTTTTTTGTCGGATTGCCTTTCTGGAAACTGGCCCTCACACGAGCTGTTTTTGAATACTGCACCTTGTGCTGAGGCAACGTGCGCATGCTGGCTCGGCAAGCAATGGAAAGGTCAGAGCTGATGGCTGCCGCAGTAGCAGGCGCGGACCAAGCCCCAGCACATCCAGCCACCACAGTGGTTGCAGAGTCTATTCATGTTGAACAGATTCAATACCAAAGCCAGTGAGCGGTTCTGCGGGGCTGTTTGGTTTGCCAAGGGCTGTCTAGTTGAACCATGTTGCATGACCATTTGAACATGAAGAAGTGGTTGGGCGCCCAATCGCTGGTCTATAAGTTCCAAAACTTGGACTCCAGTTCGATATTAGTTCGAGTTTGTTTGAGAAACGTGAGACTTAGAAATACTTGGAATCCTTGGGCACTCCAGTATGCAAGGAGACCCATAGGATCCCATAGGTATTTTGCTAGGCATCGTGGGAATGTATTCCATGGTCTTCCCAAAAGCCTTCGCCCCGGTCTCCTGGGCCACGAGGTGACCTAGGACGCATCGACCGCGCGACTGACGAAGAGCTCTTGACTTGGCGAAACATCCGGGGACGCACAGTGACCCATGTGGCAGCAGCCTGCTCCCAGGCCACTGATAGAGTGTCACAGATACGGAGATAGATAGAGGATCATTGATAGAGCGAAAGACCGTAAGACGGCCGTAAGACGCTAGCTGCTAGACATGATTTGAGGATATTTGAGGTGAAAAAAGCTTGGAAAGTGGACCTGGCACGCGGTTTCTGACGCTGGTTAGCCAGTTGGGACCATGTGTGCTGAGAGGACACTGATGCCTTGACTCTTGTTATCAAGAACTGACCTCATTGCGGATTAGAACAAAAAGGATGGTGGAAGATCCAAACTTATGATACATTCTAAACAAGAAGATTGCAAGAAGATTCGCACAAACAATGCTAAGACCAAGTCAGGTCTGTAAAATGGCTCCTGACGTGTGTTCAATGAAACAAGCTCAGAGCTGCACCCCTTCTTAGGTCCACTGTCCCAGCTACTCGAGCCGTTCACGCCCAGCCGATCTGTCGTTTCCACCACCGTCCGGAGCGGCGTGGAAAAAGGTGGCCGCCTTGGTGAAGGTCCTGGAGCGAACAAAGTTTGCTCATCTCAACTCGTTGGATGAGGATCGGCCGTTGGACTCGTTGAATGCGTGATTTTTCCATGGTGGAAAGGAATGTCATATGGTGCGATGGATTGGGCACGGATTGCGGTTCTACCCTGAGGTGGAGGATGATTTGAGATTGGGCATGTTCATTCGAGCATATTGTACCGACATGGAGAACCAATGCGTTCGCAATAATTACTTCTTGCTGGACTGGGACATTTGCAAGTGTAGTGAGCAATGGGCTGCTTTGCCCTCGCTCGAGAATTCAATCATTGGGTGACCAAGGATGCCAGGTGCGATCGACTGTGAAACATTCACGATGGTTCGGAGTGACAGAAACACCCATCATCACCCATCCCATCCCAACAAAAGCTTGGCCCAGACATCACCAAACCAGCCGACCAGCCGAAACGAAGGTCCAGAAGAGGTTGGGGCTGGATGCGGGTTCATAGCTTCGTTGGCATGGGCATTCGTGGGGAAAGGTTCCTAAAGCTATGAAGCCAAGGCTTTAGGAACAAGTTCCATTCCATTACTGTTCACGTAGCTTAAGTTCCAAAAGTCCTGACTGAAAGTTCCGCTATGGCTTGTTCACATTGTTCAGTCATAGGTGGCCTTTTACCACTGGTTGGTTGATTAATGGAGTGGACACCAGGGGAACCCTGAAGTGAACATCTTATAGGTACGTGGTACCAAATCGACCCCTCTATTGTTCCCAACAGAACATTGGTTTCACTTTCCATTTTTCCTCGGCTATGGCAGATGTGTTTCTTTCGGAGATCCCGACTCCATTCGGTCGCCTGTTGCTCTCCAGGACTCCCGCTCCCCGCTTGGGGTGGCGGTCGAAAGTAGTCAAGTTGCCTTTCAGCTGCAAGTCGTTCGCGTGTATTTTGGGCGAACGCGAAGACCAAGAACGGAATTGGAATGTCATGGAAAGTCACTTCCTGGCTCAGGTTCCCGCTGCCATGTTGTGATGATATTCCTTGATGCACACAACTCGGTGAGAATGGCATGAGATGGGTGGCAGGTGACATATTTTCTCTCTTGAAGTCTTGCATTTAGCATGCATTAACTATTAATATTGGTTGCTCCTAAACAGCTTTCAATGGACAGATCCATGTTGACAGACATTTCAATGACAGACCTTTCAATGTTCAGTGTTTCTGATGGTCCAGATCCAGATCCATGTTGCTAACCTTTGCAGAATTGGTTTGGCAATGGCAATGTTTGCCCCGAATGTTTCTTCACAGATCCTGTCTAATGAGTTGCAACTTAGCCGCAAAGACTTCGCAGGGATTCTTTTCGGAGCCTTGTGCAATCAGGTGATGAAAACATCTAACGGGACATGAGCCACCCCATTGCTTCTGCAACCTGGACACGGAGCAGCATGCTAAGTCTGCTAAGTTTCCCGAATCCTCGATCCAAGTCACGAACACAGGACGGGCAGGAAGTGGCAGTTGGGTTTCCTTTCCAAAACACTTGAACCCGCAAACTCTGGCGGTGTTGTGATCCTTCCAGAGTACGAGCGAGCGCCAGTGATGCCACACAGCGCCCCCAATGACCAATCACACTCCAGGAGGGGTTGGACAAGCCACTGTGCAATTGCTGCCTTTATTTAAAAAGGAACCCATGAAGGTTTCAGTTAAAAGCATTTAACTGCTTTATTAATCAGGGCTGGGGCCAAGAGGATTCCCTTTCGGCTTCACCGTTGGCGCCAAGGCCTCAGTCTTGGCCCTGCTCGCCCTACGCGCGGACATTGAGCTGCGCAAGAGCGACGCGGGCCACACGGCGCTGCACTTGGCGGCGATGCATGGGAATCCGGACATCACCCAGGCGGTGGAGTGTGGTGCATCGTCATGTGCTGGTGGAGTGTGCCCATGGGGAGCTGCGGAGTCCGGAATCCATTGTTGGAGTTTTTTTGGGGTTTGCAGAACCAAGACTCAGAGGGCTCTTCTGTTAGTTCGTTGATGTTTTAAGTTTATGTTTTGTTTCGGAAGGGCCAAAACCCCACTCCTCCCCAACTCGGGGGCTGAAGGCCCTGGTGGACATGAAGGGTGACTTCGAGGCCGAGACCATCTACAATGGCCGAATGGGATACCGACCCATCACGATCGCTTGCAACGAGGGATGCCTGGAAGAAATGCACGAGGGGTCCTGGACGGATTCCGTGAACGAACGCGGTGCGGATTTGACAAGTGGCGTGTCCATCGCTCTTAGGTTGGAGGCCATGGCGCTATTTGGTTGGAGGCCATCGCTAGTAGCCCTTTTGACTTGGATGGCAAAGCTAACGGCGATTGGGGTCGGTGGGGTCGATGTGCAGGTCACCTGGTTTCACTTGGTTTCCAGGTTGTGACCTCACTTACTGAGGGCCAAAACCATGTGCCAGAGAGAGAGAGAGAGAGATGTGCACAGCACATCGGCAAACTTGCAAGACGTTGACCGAGGAAATGTGAAGATTGTAAGGTTGCTGGTGGACAGCAGAGCCAACATGCTCGCAAGGACATGGAAGAATATGCAGATGATGCACTCTTGAAGCTTCAATCCTACCTGAGAATGTGGCTTAATGCAAACCGAACATTGTTGCAGTCAACACTTATTTAAAATCTGTTTGATCGTTCGTGCTGACTAGTGTCTCGGTCCGTTTTGTTTTAATCTTATGGTATAAATGACGGGCTGGGATTCTTCCTCTATTTTCCTCTATATAGTGTTCATATGTGTTCATGCATGTTGTTGCCACCAAATATTGCAGCGAATCTCCTCGAACTTGTGTGTTCCATGGATTAATATGGATTCCATGGTGCTGCAGAACCCCCTTGGACGCAACTCTCTCTCTCTCTCTCTTAGTTAGGTTGGTTGGAGGCCATGGCTACTAAGGTGGGAGGCCATTGCTTCGCTAGTATTGGGGGCCATCGATAATTAGGTTGGCCTTTTTCTCTCTTCTCTTTGCTCTCTCCCGTCCCTGCTCTTGACCGTTCTGCTGAAGGACCTCCACAGGCGCTGCGGCGCTACACGTGGCAGCCTGGACGGGCCACTCAGAAGCGGCAGCGGTGCTGCTGGCACGGAAGGCGGATGTGAACATCACCACCAAGGAGTGGTGAGAAGCTCGGATGTTGTGGATGCTTGTGGCATGTTGTAGTGCTGTTTGTTTTTCATGTGTGATATGTGATGGTATGCTTACCTCAGCTGGTCCTGATTTTCAGTTGGCCTTTTTGGCCAGATGATGTCCTGGTGGCACGGTGAGGAAGATTGTTTTGGGGATAATTTTGTTCTTGAGGAACCCCGCCACGTCACCACATATATGTTCACCATACTTTTGTTATGGGTTGACTCAGGCCACACATATGCAAAAAAGATAACATGTACTTCCAGCACATTGACATGGAAGTCATGGCTTTACAGCATCCAATTTCCGCTACGACGGGGGGGCACAGCCTGGGATTGCGTTTGATCGCCAGGACGTGTTTCAGCGGACGCCTTTGTCTTTGGCTTTGATGAATGGACATTCTGCCACCGTGGGCCTGCTTCTAGGAGCCAAGGCGCCTAAGCACCCAAAGTACGTCACCGGAGGACGTGGCCAGAGAAGAACCGTTGGCCCATGTACACCAATTTTGGGGCCGACAACAAGTGGTGCATGGAATGCAGACTCAATGATAGCGACAGCGAAGAAGAGTGTGGACTGTGCGGAGGTGCCCAAAGCAGACCCCGAGATGTTGTAATGTTTTATCATGTTTCATGTGCCGATGGGCCAACTTTGGACTGACATTGGAGTTGTTCTTTAATGAGGAGACCCGCGGGACTCAAGCAGAACCTTGAGCGGCAAAGACACATCGAATAAAACATAACTACTGCTGCATACGGGGAAGCAACACGAAGCAACAAGTACGTACACAAAAGGAACAAAACATGTGACAAAACAAAAGGTCACCAAGGTTTGAGCATATTTGTGTTCTGCATCGTTCTGCTAAAAGTTAGCATCATTTGCGTGTTCTTTTTGTGTGCCTTACTTCCATTCTGGACTGTGACTCTTCCTTTCTGGGGATGGTCTTCAAAGCAGAATGCCCTCTTACACTTACAGCACTTTGCTTTCCAATCATATTCTGGAGAATGAGATTCTTGATCCAGAGTCAGCGTTTTGTTTCTCTAGATTGTCACCATGCCGATTGTTTTTCCTGTTTGTTTCTGGCCTAATGTGCCACCAAATGCCAAGACTTGCTGCATGACTTATGCAAAGCAAACGACCAAAACAGAACCCCCGGCTCGATCGGATTGGACTCCTTCACGTCACTACTGTCACTACTTGTCGGTTCTTGCATGTTGCGATCTTCTCAGGCTGATGTGTCGCCGGGCGAGGAAGCGTCCGACCAGGACCTCGCTAAGTCCTCGGATGTGGTGTTGTTTTTGCGTCACTTGCTCTGACAACACCTAATAGCGATGGCCTCCAACCTAGAAGCGATGCCAACGTTAATTGATGGATATGAAGTCTTGAAGCTAGATGTTTGATGGACTCCGCCTCGTAAATTGCTGTGTGTGTCCGCCCCGCGGCAGGATTTGCACACCCCGCGCACCCCGGCGACGCACCGTAGCCGGTCCAGCCGACGACGAATGAAGAAATACACCCGCAAGGAGCGACGTATAGAGTTTGAGAGGGCTGAGGAGGTGAAGATCATGTCCTCCTAGCAAAAGCGTGAACCGCGACTAGTAGCTAGAAGCTACTACTAACAAGGGCATCGCTACTAGTAACAAGGGCATTCTACTAGTAGCTTCTTTCTACTACTACACAAACCTACAAAGTGTAATAACAAAATAGTTTTGTCAGGCTCCCATCAAGGTTGTTGGAGCCTCATGTAGTACAAGCATTGGTGATTTTAGATGTGATGAACAGGTTGATTCCAGAAATCAAGTTAGGAAAGACCTCAATGTCAGCTGTGTTGCACATCACTGGAGACACACAGAGCTCCGCCGGTCCCTGACTTTCTGAACTAGGCCCTCATGAGTCAATTAGCTTGCAAAACGGAGGAAAGATAGGAAAGGCTGTGCATCTCGGCCCCAACATGCCATCTCTCTTCGCATCTCGGCCGTGCGTACTGCACTCGGGGATCCATCCACTTCAGGAGTCACGCCATGAAGCGCAGATGCTGGTGCTGAAACATGAGTCCTCTGGAAGTCTGCACCCTTCACAGCCCCGGGGCCTTGGAAGTTGGAGCCGAGCCGTGTGGGAAAAGGGGTCATCCGAGATGGCCGAATGGTGCGATTGTTTGTTTTGAAAAAGGGAGAACGGCGGGGTGTGTGTGTGTGACCGGATTGTAATTGTGTGGTTCAACCTAATTTGATCTAATTTGCCTAGCTCCACAACAGTTGGGCGTCACACCTCAAGATGCGAAGTGGTTCCTTTTTGGAGCCGGCAGCGACTCAGCAGAGGTCTGAGAATGCTTCGCGGAAAGCCTCGCACGACTCGGAGTCTCAGCATTCCAACGTGAGTCGGAAAAGCCACGTGACCTTTGAGGCCTCAGGAAACGGTGGAAACGACGATGGACACGATGGGAGCTGGTTTTCAGGGTCTTAAAACAGAAGATACTTGAAGACCCTCATCGAATTGACTCACAATCTATATATAATATTGGGTGGTCCAGGGGTGTCCTCAAGGATATGCTATGTCTATGTGTATGTATTACTATGTAATGTATTCAATAAACTAGTGCCAGGATACCACAAGATGCAAAAGACCCGTTTCACCGAGTAGACAGTACAAATTCACTTTTCTCCGTGCGCTTGGTAAGATTAGGTAACATTTCATGGCGAACAAGCCTGAGCTATCCTGGCTAGCTGAATTTCAGGAAGCCTTCTGTCAACAGTCAAGAGCAGCCTTGCGAACACATTTCATTCATGGTCAGAGTATGTAAGTTATTACTGTACCAAACCTCTAAATGGGTGCTGTTTTGAGTAGGGCCTGCAGTGTCCAGCCTCTGTGTTTTCCACAGAGGCCCCGGTTAAAAAGCTGATCCTGCGATTTCTTGCAAAAGTTCGGACATATATTACATATATTTTCCGATTCTATTTATTAAATATAGGTAAAAGGCAAAACCCTGTCCAAATATTGATTCCCAATTGGTGTGAAATGCATAGCTGTGGTAACACCAGCGCGGACCTTTCCAGTCTTTGACAGAAGGATGGAGCCAGCGTGGAGCTAGTGCGCTGTTCTAGCTGTAAATGGGGTGCGGGAACCAAAATACAGTACAAAAGGAAGAGCTGGTGTTAGAATCTCCTAGTAACTAGTATGGGATGCACGCGGTCTTACATTGGTGCTGAGTGAGCACCATGCTACATCAGCGTGCGCACTGCGATTGTAGCACAAAGAGGTTGTAAAAAGGCATTGGACACCAGACTTTGTGCTACCGCGAAGCTAGCTCCACCCGGCGGTTCCAGTCAATTTCCACTGACCACCCACACGTGTAACGTGCTGGACCAAGAGCCCACCGCCGTTGCCCCCGACCTCCACAATGCATGATGTGCTGCCATAGATGCGATGTGCTTTGCAAAATATGTTTCTAACATCAGGTCGCGATGAATTCGACGATGGTTGTTTTCATGCCGTTTTGGACTGTATCGAACTATTTGTTCCCTTGATAGCTGCCTTGTAGTTCAATAACTGTTCACAGCCTACTGTACAACACGTTCCTTGGACAACGCGGGTGTAAAACAACACAACCCCCTGACCACACGGAGGGTATGCGCTAGTTTGGTTAGAAGGAACAGCTTTCTTAGCCTATTGCAACAAAACATTATAAGTGTCACGCATCTGGTGTTGAATGCATGTCGGTTAATTCAACGCAAAAAGCTTCATGCCGCAGAATGGTTGATTCGGACGGCTTTGCTGTTGGGGATGCTTTGCCACAACTTATGTCGTGGTGGCTCAAAAACCCACCCGCGACCTTGCCAGGAGGCCGCCGACGTCACCTTTTTCCCCAACAGCTCCAGCTCCAGCGAGACAGATAACACCGAGGCATATTGTCCATTCGCTCCGTCGGCTCCGGTTTTTTAAAATCATAATAAATCATCAAGTACGTGAGGGAGTGTAGTGTAGCGGTGATATTAGCCTGAGTGCCTTGCGGAAACATTGGCTGTAGAAATTCGATTCGGCACAAAGCTAGTGAAGCCAGGGGGTCCCAACATAATGTGGACGTAGTTCTCTATACAGTAAGATCCTATAAGTACAGTGGCTCAACTTCTACATGCACCGTGTTGTGTTGTGTTCGGCATCATGTCCTCAAACTTGCCACGCAAACGTGCACTCAAACCGGCTCCTGCAGCCGTCTCTCCAAGATCGTCTTGGAGACATGGCTTGACACACGGCAGGAGGAAGACTTTGTGTTGCTTGCAGACTCTCTGGAAGACGTCAAGGAGGCTGAAGAGTGGCACTTCCCACAGCGATCTTCGCGGCAAATCGCTGTCCTGACATTGCGCCTGGATTTCTTGAGGTGCTGTTGGGTTTGTCGGGTGACACTGATCCATACTTGGAACGGTGGCGTTTCTAGGGACATTTGGGGAGGCTTCTTGGGGTTATAGTAGAAGATCATGGAGCTTGCCCCTGGGAATGTGTAGGCAGGGGAGTGATGTTTCGCACTCAGCGGATTAAACAGAGTGAATTTGATGCAAAGGGGCCCTCACCAATATATAGATCCCAATATGTACGATTATACAATATAAATCAGCATGATTCAACATGATACAAACATGTAACTGTATAGAATTCATTGAATAGATAGATTTGATAGATAGCTAGGCGGATAGATAGACAGGTAGATAAATATTCTGGCCGCCTCGTTTCACGCAGATGTCGGATCGTTTGGGAATTCGACATTGAGATCAGTTGGGAATGCGTGCATTGTGTTCCACATTTTCTTCGGATATACTAGGATATACATTTGGCACAGCACAAGCTGTACGTCCCACCAATGTTGCGAAGAGGCATCAGAGGCCCCAGCCTATCCTTCACCACTCCTCCATTCCGCCTTTGACCATGAGGTTTGCCTTCGCTTTGGGTATAGCGTTGGGCCGACGTGCTCGTAGTTAGCACTGCTATCCCGACGTTTGCATGAGAATCGGCGGGTTGGTTTCATTGGATTTGACATGATTTGACCTTTGATTTCAAGATCACCTGTCACCCTTTCTACCGATGATTGGGCCTGATTGAGAGAGTTATTGAGCGACGCTTCATATCCCAACCTCCTGATGACTTGAAGCACATTCACGCGCTGAACCACTGGGAACATCCAGCTATGGCGCCCTTGATATGAAAGATCCATGTAACACACCTTTTCTGTTTTGGCGTTGAATTACTTTTGACCAAATCCTGCCATGTAGGGTGGGTCCGAGGTGACTGCTAGATGTTCCCAGTATACAGTATCACATTTGTTGTGTCCGAGACGGCGCGGGATTCCTGTAAAGTTACTCCATGTTGGTGCCACGTTGGTGCACCTGACTTTTTTGGGCGTTCGCAAGTGGGGTGGCTCAACAGAGTTGGCTGGTGACTTCGATCACTCCAACGACGCTGAAGCGTCGACCAACGACGCTTCATGGAGAGTTGCATTTCATTGCGAATTTTGTGCGCGGCACTTGGGTGTTGAATTGACCACGTTTTTCATCGTATTTCTTTGATGCGGTGCAAACAGCATCCCAGCACTTGGTCCGTCCGTTCAGTTGTTTGACCTGAAGAGCT